TTTTGTTTGGTCATAATTTATAGGTTCAAATTTGTTGTCTTGTTCATATCAAAGAATTATAACAAATAGGGCTTTGCTTTTATATGGGGCCTAAAGGGCCCGCTTATTATTAGGCCGAGCTATTGCGCCGGTCACTGAAAGTATCGCTTACCAAACATGCCACTACAAAAATACAAAGGGACCTATGAAAACAATGGTTCTTGTAAGTACTATCTTTGAAATATTTCATGTAAAAGTTCCACATCTAATATAAAACAAATTACAAAAGTCATTGTATCTCGAGAACAAGTTAGTTAGAAACATGATAAGAAACATAGATATCCAACAGTAGTTGAATTAGATGATATTTTTTCTCTATCAATTGTTAAGTAATAAAACATTGACATAGTTTTTTGGGTTAAAAATAGGGGAAATTGGAAGGGGATACACCACATTAGACTTAATTATAAAAAAATACACAGAAAAAAATGTTAGATAATTAAGTCCTTAATTTTGATACTTATTTACACAAAATCAATAAAATTCAAATAATGTAATTATCCAACATTTTTTTATAGTGTAACATTATAACAATAACAATGTTTACATAAAATATTGTACTATTATATTTTGTCAAACATATAGTTTCATATAATTTCATTCAAAATAGTTAATCTCTGTTTTAAATTTGTTATCATATGCACAAAATTACTGAACATTGTTTTTGTTACAGTGTATTGTTACATTGTCTTTGTTACAGTGTATTTGTTACACTATTATGGAGTTTGGATATTAACAAATTTTAAAATTCAAACAAGTAAAATATTCTAAAATAAACGAAATATTAAAATTCTTCTATAAAAATAGTAATAGTAAATATTTAATGCATAAATATAATTTGAAAATAAAACCACTTTCAAAATATAATTTTGTTCTATATACTTTTGTCAAATAAGTCTAATTTTGGTCTTTAAAAGAACCCTTAAAAAAACTTTTGGTTTTTAAATAGGATTTTTTTGTTTGTTTAATTATTAATTTTGTTAATTTAGTTCTTAAAATATTTAATTCGTGTCATTTTAATCTCCACATAAATAGATCATTAAATTTTTAATAGAACCAGATACTGTTTAAAAAATGACATGCGACAAAATCCGTTAAAAAAGTTAACAGAAAAATTCCTTCTTTAAGAACAGTTTTAACCTTAATATTTTTGACATGTGGATATATAAAAGCACACTCTGTTTGTTTCATTCTTTTTCCTATCTTTAATTTCCATCTTTATACACATGGTACCAGTGTTCATCACTCTGAAAAACCAACAGCAACCACTCCACTCACCTTGGGACGCACCCAATTTTCAGTAGAAAACGCAAACACTGTAAGAACTTTAACTCCCCATTTGGCACAGAGTCGAGTGAGCTCTATCAGTGCCTGTCCACCGGCCCTATGACCTTGTTCCACCGGCAAACCTCTCTCCAGGGCCCACCTCCTGTTGCCGTCCATAATCACGGCGACATGGTTTGGCATTAGTTCTCGCCGGAGACCTGCCGGCAATTCCACTTCTTCCGAAAAATCCATTGTTCCAGCCAATCTTTCTTTTTGTTCACCTCCTGGTATTGCATTTGAAGCTTCACTCACAAGAACCTTGCCAAGTTTGGGAACAGATATTGAAAGGTATGAGTTTGATTTGTTTCTTTTTCCTAGAGCACGATCACAGATTACAGAGGAAGAATGAGAAAAGGGTTTTTTTTGGAAAGGAGAGAGAGTGTTCTTGGGAGGAGGACAAGAGAATGGCAGGGAGAGCATTTTGCAAAAGTTATTGCTCTGTGTCACTGCCTTCTCTTTTGTTTTGTTGTAAGTTCTTTGCCCCCTCACACCCGAATTTATTGTCACAGAGCTGGGCCAAAACACTCTTGTTTTACAGGATTGTTATCCGAATCTAAAAAATCATTTTAGGGTAAAATACATTTTTAGTCCCCTAAAATATGTGTTTAGTGTCTATTTTGTCCCCAATCTTTTAATTGTAATCTATTTGGTCCCTAAAGTTTCCAATTTGTATCTAAGTGGTCCAATTTCAGACATCAGGTAGAAAATCGTGACAGTTCTGATCACACATCAATCACGTGATTCCTAATTTTATGTCTATTTTCTTATTTGGTCCCTAAAATTCCTAATTTGTGTCTATGTTCTCCCATGTGATTGGTGCGTGACGAGATACATTAACGATTTTTTTACAAACGTTTGAGATTAGATCACATAGATATAAATTAGGAACCTTAGGGCCAAATAAACACGATTAGAAGATTGATGATCAAGTAGTTTTTTAATTAAATGGTTTGGCAGTGGGTATAAATTAGTGATGCACATGAACATGTGGGAGTTCCGTAACTCTCAAACTAGTAGTAATGAAGAATCTCGTAGGATATAAGCAAACCCTAACAATGGAGTTATTGAATTACAGAGACTTTAGGATATCGAAACATCGGAAAAGATTATATGATATGCATATCCTTTTTTTAAAAAAATGAAAGATTCTTTTCGTTTGTGTAACGAACAAGCATATATATATATATGTGCTTCCCAATGCAGTGGAGTGTTTAGAAAGTTCATGATCATGTCCGCAATCGTTTAATTATATTTATTTGGTCTCTAAGGTTCCTAATTTGCATTTAACTAGTTCAATGCCAGCGTCCGTCAGAAAATCGTGACAGTTCTAATGACACGTCAATTATGTGGTTCTTAATTTTATTTCTACTTGCCTATTTGGTCATAAAGTTCCTAATTTGTGTTCATTTGCTCCCACATGATTGATGCGTGACCAGAAATATTAACAATTTTTTGACGAACGTTTAAGATTAGATCACATAGATATAAATTAATAATCTTAGGGCCAAATAAACACGATTAGAAGATTGGGGACTAAATAGACACTACACACTTATTTTGGGGGTTAAAAATGTATTTTATCCTTTATTTTAATTTGTTTAATTGAATGGTTTGGCAATGGGTATAAATTAGTGATGAACATGAACATGTGGGAGTTCCGTAACTTTCAATGAAGAATCTCGTAGGATATAAGCAAACCCTAAGTATGGAGTCATTGACTAACAGAGACTAGCATTGTGATATGGATGATATGATCTTAAGAAGTCAATGATCCAGAGTGATGAGGGGGTGTATTTATATATATATATATATGCTTGCCAATGCAGTGGAGTGTTTAGAAAGTTCATGATCATGTGTGTGTTTAATTAACTCCAACTGATTAACCCCAGCGGGCAACAGTGTCCCTGACTTGTTGGGCGGGCGGGGAGGAAAAGATTTGAATTTGTTTGTTGAGATACTAGCGGTTTGGATAAGAGACAAAAATTATTGTCTGCAGTTACATTGTGATGTTAAGAATCTCCACACGCCTTTGAACCAGTAAGCTTTAAGAAAAAATTAGGAGTAAATAACTCTAAGTGTAACACCACCACGTATTGATATGAGAGAGGGATTTAACACTTATAATGGCGCAAAGGGAATTAATCCGATTAGGCTCAACAAAACCTTAATCCCAACTATTTAGGGGTCAACTATATAAGTCATGTTTCACTATTAAAAGTGATATGTTCCGTTAGACCATAAACTATTGTATTTTTTTTATTCTATTTCATTCACAATTATTTTAAACTTATCTCTACCCCTGGCATTACCATATAGTCTTTACATAACTTTGAGTACCGATAGAAATCATAGAATGGTGACAACTAGCATGATGGGATTAACCTCTAGAATCCCCTAAGACATAGGTTGGAAGAGTTCTAAATTTGTATAATTCAAATATAAGCTGGGTGGATTGTATTAATTCAACATCAAATTGCTTGTTATATTATGTGTAAATTATTTTATAATTATGAGTTTTAAAATTTTGTTGTACGACACAATTTTAAGTCGTTCATGTATAACTTAAATTAGACAATACTGTATATTACGGGTCTAAGATATTACGATATATGATTGTTTTTATATTGCATTAGATGCAATAGTTATTGGATTATATGGGATCCATTACCCATCAAAGATGACTTCCTACTATTATACCAACATGGGGTTTTAGACCCCTTAAGTCATAAACGTGGGGTTTTACCCTAACAAACTACATTAATCCGATAGATAAAAATGTGCTGACAAAAGAGAAAAGTTGAGTATACACAGTTGCATTTGAGAGTGACCCAATATTTCCTGACATTTATGTGCGTATATACTAGCTTTTTTTATTTTTTATTTTTTTTACCTCCTTCTCTCCTCCGCTACTTCATTTACTAGGTTAATTTAGTTTTAAGGTATGGTTTCAATTATTTATTGAAACAAAAAAGTAATTTTGTTAAAATTAAAAACATATACTTATAATTTTACAAAAAAATGATCAAATATATTATATTATGTAAAACAATAATCTATATAATAAAACATGAGTGTGTTTGAATTTTATCTCAGTCATATTTTTTCCCTTAAAATCATCATCAATCACTTATCTCACCCATCATCCATTTGTCAGACTCAAATATCAAATCACATCACTCATTTCTATCACATATTAATCGTTTATATATTTCCTCCCTAAAAATATCACACCACTCATTTCTATCATATATTTAATTAATTTGTAGTTAATATATTTTGAAAAAATTTAATATAGTGGGATCGATTTTTTGGACGCTCGAATTTTATATTTTATCGTGCCTTCAGGCACGGGTTATGACTAGTACACTAATATGTGTGATTATGTTCTGTTATATACGGTAAAGCACGAAGAAAGTGAGCAAATCCAAACAAATTATAAATATAAATATAAGAATACAAAATAATTGCTAGTTCAAAGCAAAAAAAAAAAAAAAGATGATATCAAATGGATTAAACTTTTGAAGCATAAAGTAGTTATTTTGCTTTAGAAGATGTGAAGTTCAAATTACATGCAAATGGGAACTTATCATATCCTTATGTAATTTTCAGATGAATTACATAGAGTAAAAGAAAACTTAGTTGGTAGATGTTGAATACTTATATCCACCATATCGTCTTTGTCGTTGTTGAAATGAGCTTAATGCCTCTATAAGATCTGTTTCTCCAAAATCTGGAAACATCTTTTCAACAAAATAAAGTTCAGTGTAAGCCAATTGCCACAACATGAAATTGCTAATTCTGTGTTCACCACTAGTTCGTATAAGCAAATCAGGATTGGGGTACTTGGTACCCGTTGTTTCTAATTGTTCTTCAAACATGCTTTGGGTGATGTCTTCAGGTTGAATAAGGCCATCCTTCACATGGTTGGCAACTTTTTGGCAAACTTGCAGTATGTCATATCTACCACTGTAATTCAGTGCTATGACAGCATGGAGTCCCGAGTTTGCCTTCAAAGCTTGCTCTGCTCTTGCTAAAATTTGATTTAGAGACTTGGGGAGCTTCGATTTATCCCCGATAACAGATAACCGAAAATTAAGTCTGTCAAGTGTAGAAACAATTCCTCAACATGCTCATTTTTTGGACAAATCAGCAACAAGAAGATAATATACATGAGAACAAATCAATAAAAAACAAGAATTTTAGGGTACATTGAGAATACCATATCACGTTTATAGAGAGGCTGTCTCTAGGTGGGTGGTGGGACTTGAGGTCTACCCCAGTTTTATGATCGTATTGGGTCTAAAGTAATGCAGAAAATGATTTATGGCACCGTTTTGCAAATAAACTCCATATATATTTATTTCATTGGTGCCCCATCTCCTATCTTCAAATGAATGGGAGTGTGAGTAACAGGTATCATATTAATTGTTCCACTTCCATTTGTTATTTTCAAGAAACTTATCCTGTCATACTGCTCTCTCACGTCTCTCAAATCCATTTTTCTTTATTTGCTTATTCTTCTATACATTTTTTGTCTTCTTGGAATTTCTATTTATACTATTTGTTGTTGCATGAATCAGACTTCTACATAGATAAGAGCTTTCCTTATGACAGACTGCACACGTGATATCTTGAGCAATTGGGGCCATACAACAAAGAGGAGGTGAATCATTTTGTCGGAAAACTTTTTGCTCTCGATGTTTCTTTCTTTTCTTTTCTTTTCTTTTTTTTCTTTAGGATTATTCTTTCTTGACATTGGCCCATTTTTTTCTTCTCTCCGTTCCAACGAAAAAAAAAATCGGAAAGAAAAGAATTGTGCTAAAAAATGTTTGCAATGCTTTCAAGATATGGTCGTGATGATGACTCTTATTTTCTTCATGTCTTCAGATATATCTTACTTTATTCTGATGGTAAAAATTGAAAATAGTATTCTGAATGGCTTTTATTCAAATGTGACCATCAGTTTTAGGGTGGAAAGATTTGATCAAAAACTGAATAGGCTGTGTTATCTCTTTTTTTTTTTCTTTTTTTGATACAAAATTGTAATTTTAATTTCTTTTTTTTTCGAAATAAATAACTAACTTTTTAATGTTGACATATTTTAAATATGCACATATTAATTATTGTTTGACGCGCCTAACGATCTACTATTGTTTTGTTTCGTTCTATTTTGAATTTTTATTTTTTTTTACGATTGTATCACTATTGAATCCACAACAGGAGGCTGATGAAATTCTCATTCATCTCTTGGAGCCAATATCACTAGGAAAAAAAAAATACACTTATTAAAGCATATGCAATCGTGCAAACATAAACTGCAATATATTTTATTAGATATCATTGACTTTAAGAGTACCTCGCACCCTCCTCGCTAAACGTTTTTGTCACCTCTTCGAACAACATCATTAAAAAGTCAACCTCTTCCTGCGCCATATCAAACTAATTGTTAAGAAGCCTAAAAAAAAAAAAACTCCAGTTATCAAAAAAGAATAAGTAAATAATTATCAATTTATCAATACAAATTTTAATTGTTATTTTATTTCCCATAAGATTTTAAAGGATTAAAATTGAGAAATGAAGAACCATATTGACCCCTTATTGCTACAAAAGCTTAAGATTCTGTTCGGTAATGTTTTTTTAGTATCTATTTTTTTTTTCCTTTAAGTAACATTTATTTTTTATTTTTAGATTTTTCTTGTTTGGATTTATTATGATTATATTGCATGTATAATAATATAAATATATAATTGTAGTATTTGTACATCAATACGAATGTAGATTGTTTTGACAAAAAAATATTATTTGCTTAAAAAGTTTTATTTGGAAAAATAACCAAACTTATTAGGGATGATTTAGAAATGTATAGTCTGAACAAATATTAAAAGTATCGCTTACCGAATATGACACTATAAAAATATATTTCTACAAAACAAAAGGAACGACTATGAAACAATGGTTCTTGGCGTGCTATCGTTGAGATATTTCACTAAAGAATTCCATGTCTAATATGACACAAATAAGAAAAGTCATTATATCTCGTGAATAAGTTAGTTAAAAACTTGATAAGAAGTTTGATAATTAGTTTTCTTGATCTATGGATATATATAAGCATACTGTGTTTGTTTCATTCTTTTTCTTATCTTTAATTTCTATCTTTATACACGGTGGTGAAATTGTTAATCACTCTGAAAAAACAACAATAGCCAGCCCCACTCACCTTCGGACGTATCCAATTTTCCGTAGAAAAGGCAAAAACTGTAAGAACTTTAACTCCCCATTTACTACAGAGTCGAGTGAGCTCTGTCATTGCCTGTCCACCGGCCCTATGACCTTGTTCCACTGGCAGACCTCTCTCCAGGGCCCACCTCCTGTTGCCGTCCATTATCACGGCAACATGGTTTGGCATCAGTTCTCGCCGGAGACCTGCCGGCAATTCCACTTCTTCCGGCGAATCCATTGTTCCGGCCGATATTTCTTTTTCTTCATCTCCTGGCATTGCATTTGAAGCTTCACTCACAAGAACCTTGCTAAGTTTGGGAAGAGATATTGAAAGGTATGAGTTTGATTTGTTTCTTTTTCCTATAGCACGATCACAGGTAACAGAAGAAGAAGAAGGAGAAAAGGGTTTTTTTTGGAAAGGAGAGAGAGTGTTCTTGGGAGGAGGACATGAGAATGGCAGGGAAAGCATTTTGCAAAAGTTATTGCTCTTTGTGTCACTGCCTTCTCTTTTGTTTTGTTGTAAGTTCTCTGCCCCGCAACACGAGAATTTACGGTCACAGAGCTGGGCCAAAACTCTCTTTTTTATAGGATTGTTATGGGAATCTAAAAAATTATTTTAGGGTAAAATTCAGTTTTAGTCCCCTAAAATATGCGTTTAGTGTCTCTTTTATCCCCAGTCTTTCAATTGTAATTTATTTGGTCCCTTAGGTTCCTAATCTGTATCTAAGTGGTCCAATCCCAAACGTCCGGCAGAAAATTGTGATTGTTTTGATCACGCGTTAACCACGTGGTTTCTGATTTTGTGTTTATTTAGTCTCTAAAGTTCTTAATTTGTGTCTATTTATCCCCATGTGATTGGTGCATAACCAGAGATATTAACGATTTTTTCACGAACATTCGGAATTGGATTGCATAGATATAAAGTAGGAACTTTAAAGATCAAATAGATGCACGTGAACATGTGGGAGTTCAGTAACTCTCAGAATTAATTGTAACGAAGAATCTGGTAGGACATAAGCAAACCCTAACTATGGAGATATTGAATTACATAGACTTTGGGATATCGAAACATCGGAAAAGATGATATGATCTTCATGAAGTTAACGAGGGAGAGTGATGACGGGGTGTATATACATATCCTTTATGAAAAACTAGTTATTTTCAGTACTTGAAGGTACTCTTAACACAAAAAATTCACCAAGCAAATGGAGATCCAATAATGTCTTAAATAAAAAAAAAAAAGGATTAAAATGAAGAAGAATTATATAACATTATTACAATTCGAGAATCCCCGTGAATTTAAACTAACACCATAATAAAATTATCATGTCATAAATTTCTTCATGACGATTATTCTCTCCACCAAATAAGTGTTCATTTTTTCAACCTCTAACTAAATCTAATGAATAATCTGTCTAATTTTAATATAGAATATCATTAAGAACACACATTAAAATCACTGAATCCAATCACACGAATTAACCACATTGAACTACTACAAATCAAATTTCCAAAAAATAGAAAAAAGCTCATTCAAACGAATATTGTCCAACGAATTTGCTTGTAGTTATGAGGACAATTGATTTAAATTTTCTATCGCTGTGACTTCTAGGATTCTATACAAATATTCTCACGTTGCAATTAAACCAAATCAATAAAATTTAAATTTCATTACTTTAAAAAAAAAATTGATTTAATTGACTTTTTTATCGTTTCGGTGTTTATTTTGCACTATTCAAGTATTCCAAAAAATATGAATATTAGCGAGGAGACAGTGATGCAAATAGGGAAAAAAAAGTTACAGTTGGTTTTGAATATTATTTTTTTTTCCATTGGTTTTACTTATTTTTTTTATTGGTAATTAGCTTGACTTTGAATTTTTTAGTTTTTTTTTTGTATAATTGGCATCACTTATTATTATTTTTTATTGGCAATTAGCTTGACTTTGATTTTTTTTTTTGGTGCAATTAGTATCACTTTTTTTTTCTATTGGTGATTAGCTTGACTATGATTTTTTTGTTTTTTTTTATTGCAATTGGTATCACTTATGTTTTTTTATTGATGACTAGCTTAGCTTTAAATTTATTTGAGTAAAGTAGTCAAATTAGGATTGTCAAGACACACAATGTTTAGCAAGAGGGAGAGAACGAGTATGAGAGATGTAAGAGTATGTTTAAAATAGATACGAAATAGAGAGAGATAATTATATGAGAGATGAAAGTGTGTTTAAAATGTCTGAAACATAAAGATAGTTATATACGTATCAGAATTGTGTATATGAGATAGAGAAGAAGAGAAAGTTATATGAGAGATAAAACACTTTAAATTTTTTTTAGTTATATGAGAGGTGAGAGTTTTAGAGTTGTAAAAAAAATGAAAATTCAACTAGGATCATCAGATCAATAATATTCAAATGATTTGAACCGCAAAAAATAAAAAATAAATAATTTAACTATTTTATTATATAGATTCATTCCGTTTGTTTAATGTACAAGCATGTGTATGCTTCCCAATGCAGTGGAGTGTTTAGGAAGTTCATGATCATGTGTCTTTAATTAGCTCCAATTAGTTAACCCCAGCGGGCAACCGCGTCCCCGACTTATTGGGCGGGGGAGGAAAAGATATGAATTTGTTAAGATACTAGCACTCTATCATATGCTTTTGAATTAATGCATTAGCCAATTTTTCCATTTGGATAGGAGACAACTTTAGAATTCGTGAATACGATAACTCTAGTTTATTTGACAAATGTTGTTTGACTTCTCTAAATTTATGACTAATGTCTGAATAAACGTGATCAAATTTTACAAAATCACATACACATATCTTGAAAAAGATAGCCATTAATTAGTAGACCCAAATTGTCTGCAGTTGCATTGTAATGTGTAAGACTCCCCGGTGGGCTACAACTTAAGTCATGAACATGGGGTTTTTACCCTAATAAACTACTACATCAATTCAATAGACAAAAATGTGCTGACGAAAGAGAAACGTTGAGCATGCACAGTTGCATTTGAGAGTGACCCAATATGTCTCCACATCTATGTGCCTATACTATAGTTTTTTTTCTCCTTCTCTCCTCTGTTACTTCATTTACTAGGTGTTTACACCAAAAGATAGTACAATTAGAGGGAAACACGCGAAAAGAGATCCGTCGGTCACAAAAGAGTCTATGAGTGTCTACAATTGACAGAACGGTTAGAGGAATATGACTCTTTGGATCGTAAGAAACGGAATATCATAAGCCGTCAGTTGGAAACTGTTTAACACACATTCACGTATCTCAAGGAAACCTTCCTTTAGCAAAATAAAGTTCAGTATAAACTAATTGTCACAATATGAAATTGCTGATTCTATGTTCACCATATAAGGAAATCAGGGTTGGGGTATTTAATACACTTTGTTTCTAATTCTTTTTCAAACAGGATTTGGTTGATGTCTTCAGGTTGAATAAGGCCATTCTTCGCTTGGTTGGCAACTTTTTGGCAAACTTGCTGTAGATGGTGTCCTGGGTTTGCCTTTAAAGCCTGCTCTGCTCTTGCTAAAATTTGTTGCAAAGACTTGGGATTATCCCCAATAACAAATAACTGAACATTAAGTCTACCAAGTGCAAAAACAAATGCTCAACATGCTCATTTTTCGAACAAATCAGCAACCAGAAGATAATAATCATGAGAACAAATTAGTAAAAAAAATAAGAATTTTAGGGTACATTGAGAATACCATATCACATTATTATATAACTAGTATATATAATAAAGTCTCTACACATATCAAAGCCTCAAATACAGAGAGGTGATCTGAGAGATCGAGTAACTTCATCAACTACACCATTAGTCTGTGTGTTTGTAGAGAAAGTAATAGAGGTTAGAGATACTCATAATATACCATATAATAACATGGGTTCACAAGGGCATAGGAACTTAGAGATTGGGGGGGCCACGAAGGACATGATGAGCAGCAAGGAGCAGAAACCTACAGGCTTGACTGCTCAGATCATATCGTCTTCTTTGTTGAGAATTAAGTCTGATCCAATGCTTGTGTCAAAGGTTCGGTTTGGAATGCTCAGACAAGTCCTCACCAATCTTCAAGAGGTGATCCTTGGAACAAAGCTTTTTGTCTTGTTTCCGGCCATCCCTTTGGCAATAGTGGCCGATTATTACAATTTTGGAAGAGTAAGTCACCGGGCTCTCGTATCCGGATATAAAATACTTATGTTTCATCTTTCTCCAAAAACTTAAATTTTTAGATCAGGTGATGATCAAGATCAACACTTGGAAGTCAATTTTTTTTTTCTGCTGCCTGTTATATGTTTTCTGACCTAATTTCAATTGTTTTTTGGAAATAAAACTTGGGTTTTGTAATAGATTTTGATTTTATAAGAGGCTGCTAATTAACAATGGATTTTCTCTGATATTTATTTTCTTTCTTTTTTTTTTTCCATCAATTACCAGGCATGGATTTTTGCTCTGAGTTTACTGGGGCTCACCCCACTTGCTGAACGAGTTAGTTTTTTAACCGAGTAAGTCGTTCTTTGAATTATAAATAACGAAATTTAGAACTGAACTAATTAATTCGATCATATGATCCTAGTAGCGTTAATCGTTGATTATATTTCAGTACCACATGTTTATTATTTCTAATTTTTTGCTTTTTACCAATTGTTTTTTTGTGGTTTACTAAACATCAGACAAATTGCGTATTTCACCGGTTCAACGGGTAATCTTGAATCACCTCTGCAATTACTCATAAAAAAAAATTATTATATTATTTTGGTGCATTGGCTACCTAAGAGTATATATATATATATTCTCTTTCCAACACCTACGCATACATTAGAATAAGAGAAAGGAGAGGAGAGACTAGGGTTTGAAGTAAAGAAAAAAGAAGGAAGTAGAACGAGAAAAGAAAGAAAATGTTTGAATCCATTAAATGTTGAATTTATTACTTAATTTATGAGTTTTGTATTTTATTCAATCAGATGGTGTTAGGTTTATCATATATTTATATGTTCATGGTAAAAAATATTAGTAAATAAATAAATGAGTTTCAGTATGGATGTTAATTTTGAAGAAAGAATATTAGTAAATAAGTAAATGAGTTTCATTATGGATGTTAATTTTGAAAAAGTTTGCCCAAATTAAGTTGGTAGAATTTGATCAATATGTTAAGGAGAAAGAATAACAAAAAAAAAAAAAAAAAGGAAAGGAAGTATACTGGTTCGGTTCGGCCGCCGGAAGAAGGAGGCCAAATCCCAAAAAAAAAAAACAATACAGAAAGCTTCCCTTTAGTTTCAAGGAATTTTATTTTAACCCCTTTATTCTTCTAAACTTAATTTTAAATACCTTTTTACTTGGTAAGTTGCAAGAACATAATTCTGAAAAATTTATGGCAAGCTCGAAAACAGAAATTTCGTTTTTTTTAGGAAATTACACTATGACCCCAAAAATTTTAAAAATTATGATTTGACCCCAAAACTTTAGAAACTTTTTCCAAACAGTCCAAAATACTTTCATACGTTGTTACCTCATATTAAAAAGGATATTTATATGTAAAATATATATTGAGTATATATTAATGAGTAGGAAGTATAAAAATTAAATATAAAATCGTGAAACGATAAAGTAAAAAAAAAATGGATTGATTGTTATATGTTATTTTAAATTAGGTGGTGATTGCATTGAGGTTGAGAAAGAGTGTTTTGAATTAAATTTTGGAAATCAAGGTGAGTAGTTTACTACTTTTATTGAAAGAATTTTCTATATTAAACTGTGGTTGCGTGTGTGTGAATTTTGACATATATGATATATGTTGATGTTTGGGTTGCAATTAAATGTTTTGCAATTGTGAATTGTTATACTTGTGAAGTTTGGAAAATTTTATGGGATGATTTTATATCCTTGCTTAAATGTGTTTTGATGATGAAAGAGAAATTTTGTGTATGTTGGGACTAAAACAACAGTTTTAGTGTGCGTGTTGAAATCATGTTTTATGAGAAGGGGACTGAGTTATCAGGTTTAAATGGTAACGAGATTGTATACCGGCATGGTCGGTATAGGGATGTGCACATAGGGGCTAGTTATCAGGCTAGTGATAACAAAAGAATGGGTCAGTCATCAGGCTAGTGATGACAAGAGATGGTGTCAGTTTCTAGGCTAGTGGTAACAAACATGATTTGACAAATGTATGTGATGACAAGAGATGGAGTCAATTACCAGGCTAGTGGTAACAAACATGATTTGACAAATGTATTTGAGACTGAATGTGTGTGTGAGTGTTTTGAGCTATAAAATGTCTTTTCTTTTATAAAATTATTATGATCGTGAGATCATTTTGTTTACATGGTTTTGTGAAAGAGATTGGGGTACAATTTATTCTATTTATGTATATAACAAAGTTTATTTCTGTGTATATAAAATATGAGATTTATTTTCAAACCTCATTAGAGGTGGTTGCTACTCACGGGCCTTTGTGCTCACCCAAATATTTAACATTTTTCAGGTGAGGATCAGGAAGAGGAGTAAGTCCTCGGATAGACAAGGGATTAGAATAATCGAAGATTTATTTTATTATAGGTCTTCAGGAATAAATATTGTTTATAGTTTTGAGACGAGTATTCGATTGTTTTGAAAACAATGTTGTTTTTGCTTAGAATAATGAACCTTATGGATTAATTATTGTTTTACATGAGTTTAATAATAATGTCAGTGATGTTAGTTTATTTTTCTGGTATTCATTAGGTCGGTGAAAAAGATCACTTTATTATTTGTCTTCCGCTGTATTTTGCATTAATTATGCACAGGGATGACTAGTTAAGGCCTCGGTGGCCGGTCTACTGGTCACCCTATGTAATCCGGGGTGGGGGTGTGACAACCTACCTCTCTCTCTCTCACACACACACACACATATATATGTCTATTACTGCTACTTACTGTAAATATCATTCGTTTGTGAAGTTTAAGAGATTGAAGTGAATGAGGTTTGCCATTTGCAGTTGGGGGACTACTTAATGCAACATGTGGTAATGCAACTGAGCTCATAATAGCAATTTTTGCTCTTCGTCAAAACAAAATTAGTGTGGTGAAGAACTCTCTCCTGGGTTCCATTCTTTCCAACCTTCTTCTTGTTCTTGGGACCTCTCTACTCTTTGGAGGATTAGCCAACCTGAACAAGGAACAAAAGTTTGACAGGGTAAGAAGATTAAGGCCTCTTAATGCACAGTCACACACACACAACACACTCTTTCTTTTGTAAACACAGTTAACTTGTTCATGTATATTTGTTGGCTTTGACAGAAGCAGGCTGACGTGAACTTGCTCCTTCTATTGCTGGGATTGCTTTGCCATGTGCTGCCATTGGTGTTCGGATATGCCGTAAAGCCTGACAGTACCACAGCCGATTCAGTACTTGAGTTGTCAAGAGCAAGCAGCATCCTTATGCTTGTAACATATTGCGCATATCTCTTCTTTCAATTAAAGTCCCATCGGCAATTGTTTGAATCAGAAGAGGTAATGAATATAATAAATCTCTTATCTCGAAGAATGCAACAATAATTTTTTTTTTTTTTTTTGGGGTGAGGGGAGGGGGGAGAACTACTAGACCAGATACCAAATGATGTGGGGCTGAAGTATACACCACATGCCAACGCCACTTCATCTGGTTTTTTGTCCCATTTTTGGGTCCAACACTGTAATGCTAATCAAGTTTTTTATCTCAAGTGATGTGGTATAATTTTAACCATCAAATAAGTGGGTCACATTAATATTCAATGATGGAGATTGTACCACATCACTTGAGATGAAAATCTTTTAAGCATAATATTACTATTTTTGATCACATATATAATCCAACTCAATCCCTTAGGGATGTATCTCATCAACCACTAGTAGGGATATGGATGGAATTTCACTCAATAAAGAGAGTTGTAGATTCATAGAATATGAATATGGGAGAAGGGCCTTTACTTTTATATTAGTAAAGTGCGCTAGCTACAATCAAATTAATCCAACTTAATCCCTTGGAGCTAACTCGTTTTGGTGAAAATGATAGGAAAGTGAAGATGGTGACAATGAAATATCTCAAGAGAAGGCTGTGATAGGATTTTGAAGTGCATTTATTTGGTTGATTGGCATGACCATCACCATAGCCATACTATCTGAGTACATCGTGGCTTCAATAAAGGTACATCAGTAAATTAAACTTACTATATATGTTTCCCCAAAAACCTATCTTTAAAAGAATTAGCATGTCTTGCTCTCAAAACAAAATGAAAATACGATTAATTGGAGATACTGTGCCTTGTCAATCAGGCTGCATCAGATTCTTGGGGCATTTCTGTGAGCTTTATCAGCATTGTTTTGCTACCCATTGTCGGGAATGCAGCAGAACATGCCGGAGCAACCATATTTGCTTTCAAGAACAAGTTGGTATGATTTAAAGATATCTTCTGAGTTCCCAAACTACACTATTTCCTGAACAACATTGTCTGTTAGTTTGATTAAATGATTTTTTTGGCAATCGAACAGGATATCTCTTTGGGTGTTGCTTTAGGATCCGGATCTCAAATATCCATGTTTGTGGTAAGACTTGAAAAAGGAAAACAAATAAATTGACACGGATTTGTTGGAATCATGGATTTATATGTAAGTAAATATACACCACGCCCCGGAAATTTTAATCAAGCTCAATAGTTTGGAACAAACTTTGTATACAAAGTCGTATTTATTTCTCTCCTCAACTGACGTGGGGTTGTTTTTTTATTTCACTTGTTTATTAACACAATTTGCTGTCTTTACTAATATTTAGAATCTCATCTGTTTGTTCCAGATTCCTTTCTCTGTGGTAGTTGCATGGATAATGGGCATCCCTATGGACCTGGATTTCAGTCTCCTTGAAACTGGTTGTGTTTTTTTTGCAGTTATCATCACAGCCTTCACCTTGCAGGTCATTTATCGAATTTACTTTGTAATGATAACTGTATGTATTTTGATTGTTTACTAGAGTAACCAAAACCCCACGCCGTTAAACCATTCGACCCAAAAATCAATTGACAATAGATGAAGATGCACTTGTGGCAAAAAACAAATGCAAAATCAATTGTGTAATTGACACAAACTTTCTCAAAACCTTTTGAAACCTTGTTCTAAGACCACACTAAAGCATCCAACTCAAAAATAACTAGTAACGGGTGAAGGGGCCCACAAAATTCATAAACTAGTTTAGAAGGTATTATTATACATCTGTAAGACAATCTCTACGCACAATCACCAATAGACAAGCATATACTTTTTTTTTTCAATACCTGGTAAAATTTGCAATTTATTGATTATAATGCAGGATGGAACTTCACACTACATGAAAGGAGTGGTTCTTTGTCTATCCTACACTGTTATTGCAGCATGTTTTTTTGTCCAGAAATTCCCCCCAAGTAAGTGCATGTACCTAAGTTTCTAGCTGCCTAATTTAATCTCTACGACTCGATATTCATAATAATGTATACAAGCTAATTTTCATGGCAGATCAAACAACTGTCCCCAACTTAGGAGTCCATTCACCATCTGGAACTTTGGCCGGTTAATCGGCGTCAACCTTGAAGATATGAGCTATGTTGGTGCATCATCAACAAGTTCCACAAGTAATTTATTTGTTGATTCAATGGATTTTCCATTTTCAAAGCACTGGGAATATTTGCGCCTTCTGGTGACAGAAAGCTCAAAGGATTTGGTGGCTTTGAAGAAGAAAGTTAATGTTCTGTGCATAGCTCGTGTTTTTCTTAATAAGCATTTGTTTCTCAGTTTTGACAAAAGTGGTGGCAAATGGCATCTGGAGTTCTGGACGCAATCCGTTGATGCAGAGAAGAATGCCATTAAATCATTTGCTGCTGCAATAATAATCATGAATAAAACCTCGCACGTTTTCATTGGTCAAAATAAACACTTGTTCATTTAAATATTCTATATTGATACTAGTTATTGACTACGGTCACTTTCCTTCTCAACTCACTAATAAAAAGTTCTATCACACGTACTAAATTAAATTTAGCTACATGTATATTACCATTCTCAAACGAGAAAATCGAACTTACCAAACGTTGAAATAGCCTTTAATTAGTGATGGACATTTCATTTCCGAGCTTCGTTCATACAATTAATGTTATGTGAAGTTATATTATTAAGATACATAATATTAGCAAAACGAGGTCCACTTCAATTGGGCATAAAGCATCTTTTAATTTATGGTTATCTTTTAATTGTCAAGTAATTTATAACTTCTCACGAATTTTTAATTTCTAAAATAATGGGTGAAGGGAAAATGAGAGGGGTTTTGCAAATCTCGTGCATCTCATGTGTCCGATACTATATTCAAATAGTTTCGAGAAATTAAATGGCAGAGTGAATTGAGGGAACTATGTACAACTTTTAACACTTATAATGGTACAAACGGAAAATCTAATTAAACTCAATAAAATTTTAATTCCAATTATTTGGAGTTGTCTATATGAGTGGTGCTTTTGTATTGCATTCTATTAAAGATCATGTGTTCTATTAGACTATAAACTATAATACTTTTTTTTATTATTATTATTTCGTTCACAATTATTTTAAACTTACCTCTATTTCTCGCATTATCATCTATATGTATCAAATCACTTTATTTACCGTTGCATTATTACGTCTTCTGTAATTATGTCTAAACCATGTAAACCGATTTTCTATTAATTTATCTTTTGTTGGTGCTATTTCTACGATTTTACGAGTATATTAATTTCTAATGTTATAATTACTCATTTTCATACACATCTATCTTAATATCCTCATTTTTGTAATATCTTTTTTTTTGAACCATTATTTCTTAATTGCCCAATATTCATCTCCAAAAAGAGTAATTCTATTGATGACCAAAAAAAAAAGAGTAATTCTATTTAGACATAAAAATTTAATCAATGATATAGTTTCATTAGAATTATTATAACAACACCCACTTCTAATATTTGAAGGAACTCACAATGGATCCAAAAACTATAATAAATTACACCCTCATAAAACATTGCTCATCTAATAAAACTTAGGGTTAATTACATTAGAAAGCTCTCAAAGTATGAAATTTATCACATTTTGATTTTTAATATTTTAATTGCATTATTTTGGTCTCTAAAATATTGAATATACTTCTATATGGTCTTTCAAACAGAAAAAGTCCAGATTACTGACAATGTTTTATCATAAACTTGTCACGTAATAACTAAATATAGATAAAAAAAATCATTTTGATAGTTTTTAAACAAAATTTGGATAGCTCTTAACAAAAAAAAAAGTGTAATATGAGTAGTTTTTGACCAAAATTTATATGATCAAAATTGTATAATTTAGGTAGGTATTTACCAAAATTTGAGTAAAAATTTGATTAAAAGATATCCAAATTATTTTTTTCGTCTATATTTCAGTATCATGTGATTAGTTTATAATAAAATTTTTTTAGCAATCTAGACATTGTTTACGCGAGGGATCATATAGAAACATATTTATTATTTTAGAGACTAAAATGATGCAATTAAAACATTAAAAACTAAAATAAAATAAATTTCATACTTTAGGGACCTCCAGTGTAATTAATCCTAAAACTTATCTTCCATCTATTTATTTATTTCTTAAGGCACGTGAGAAGCACTAGCGCCGTAGAAGCCCCCAAACGGCAGATAACAAGCCACGTCATCTCCCGCCAGTTACCGAAAGTCCAATGTCGGACGTGTCCCCCCAGTTCAACCGTCATCAAAATCCCTTCCAAGAAGAATAGAAGGACACTTCCGTAACTTTGTTCCCCAGTTCCTCTCGATTGCAAAGTCGGTTGTAGTCAATTTCTCACCTTCCGCCCCACAATTGAATTCAATTCCAAGACCCTGCTCATTCCTCTGCTTCAATACCCCAATACTCTGCTCTGTCTCTGCATATTTTCTTCGATCCCGAAAATGCCGTCCCAATCCAGAAGAGCCTCGTTTCCGAAAGTTGTGATCGAGAGAGACGCAGACTCCGAAGAAAGTTCATCAGAAGAAGAAGTTGAAGACGACGATGTACAAACAGAGGAAGAAGAAGAAGAAGTTGCTGAAGAGCCAGAAAATGTGGTGAAAGTTGAAGTGGTTTCGGGGTCGAAGAAGAGAGAGAGAGCACCCATCACTATTAGTCTCAAGAAAGTCTGCAAAGTAAGCCTCATTTGACTGTGCTTCTTAGGGTTTGAAGACCTTATTATATTTTTTTTTTGAATTTCTTCTATTCTTACATAACGTTTATTTTAGGTGTGCAAGAAAACGGGTCATGAAGCAGGGTTCAAGGGGGCTACTTATATCGATTGCCCAATGAAACCGTGTTTTCTTTGCAAAATGCCTGGTAAATCTTTATTGGTACTTCCATTCGGTTCATGGCTTTATTTTTATGTGGTTAGGTATCCGCAGAGTTCTAATAATTGTACTAATGGGACAGTTAGATGTTCAATGGAAATTGAACAGCTACTATGTTTTTGCATTATGGTTATATGAATATCTGATTGGTTAGACTGAATATGTTGTTTTTTTGTTAAAATTGACACGTTCGGCCTTATTTTTGTATTGCCACTGCATTTGTGGTTTTTCTGTTTGTTGCCACCGTGGGGGTGAGTTCTTGTGGAAAGCTTGTTGAAAAATATCATAAATTTGAATGATTCGTGGACATGTAATCCCCCTTGTAAGTTTGTTGGTTAAATAATAGAGTGTGCAACCTTTGTACACATGTGCACCCTAGTTGTGGCAAATTATTATTAAACTTAGAACTGGCATACATGAATTGTTTGGATCAGTTGCATTCTTATAAATGGAATTCTTTGAAAGGTGGCTACTCCTTTTTCCTTTGCCTTTTGGTCTATTGAACTATTGATCTGTACTATTTGATGATTTAGATATTTTCTATGATCATTGAATTTGAAATTTTACAATGTTAGTATATGATGCCAATTCTGTTTTCTCATTTGTCTTCTGGGTTGAAGGGCACACTACCATGACTTGTCCACATCGCGTGGCTACTGAGTACGGGGTCATCCCAGCACCACACAAAAGTACATACAACTCATTGAATTACATCTTTGCACGGCAACTTAGACCCAACATTCCTAGAGTGAGTTCTCTCTCGTCTATTCTATGTTCGAATTTCTTATTGATGGGGAGAGGGTTCTAATTGTTATTTGCTTGTTAAATTTCCCATTATTTCTCATGTGGTTTTCAAGACTATACAACTTACTTGGACTTCAAAATTTTTATTCCTAGATGTATGTTGACTTGCGACATGTGATGACACAGAATATTTATTTGCTTGTAACATGAATATTTTTCCTCAAGAAGCATTGTCTCGCTTATATTTTTTCTGAAGCCAATATGAGTTATATAAGGCAGTAGGGCATGCTGACAATTCTAGCAGATTCTAGGTTGAAATTCAGTGGTTCGTTTAACAGCTGAATTGGGAACTCTAGTCATGTGCTCTATTTATTGGTTTGATCATTCAAAATTTTTAGGGTTTATATTTTAGGTTTGCTAAATATCTGATCCATAAGCTAAGGCATCCTTTCTTTAGACTCTGTGTATGTGTATGTGTGTGTGTGTGTTTGGGCTTTCAGTTTCTACTTTTCTAAGCTGTTTTTGCTGTCCTCCTTGGTCTTCATCACTATTTGATGAAGTGGCATATTCTATTTAAAACATTCATTTGACCTCTCTTGCCAAAATTCAACCTTCCTTTTCTTTTTGGCTATGCAATATTCAGTTGATGTTTTTGACTTGAGCACATGTGAATATATGGTTTATTCTTAAATATTTTCACAGCTTTCAAATTTCTACGAGACTTGCCATGATCCCTTAGTCAATATTTATCTTTATTATTTCTTTCAATTATTAATTTTTTTCTTTTGTACCTGTTCACAGATCAAACCGGCATTTGTTATCCCAGACCAAGTGAATTGTGCGGTTATAAGATACCACAGTAGACGAGTTACATGCTTGGAGTTCCATCCAACAAATAATAACATTCTTTTATCTGGTGATAAGGTCAATGTTAACTAGAGCTTGTAATAAACAACTGATTTAGTTCTATGTTGCTTAGCATTCAATTTGTTTTTGATTATTGACACGTCAGCTTTCTCTCTTGGTTGTATGCAAAAGAAAGGACAACTTGGAGTATGGGATTTTGGAAAAGTATATGAAAAGACAGTTTATGGGAATGTACATGGCTGCATACTTAACAACATGAAGTGAGTTATCTGTTCATCTGGATAGTTATGTTAATTATATAACTTAGTGTGAAAATGCGGCCTTGTGGTTGCCAAGTCCCTTAATTAGAAGGTTGATCGTTATTCAAATATCTGCAGGTTCAATCCCACAAATGATGGAGCAATATATTCTGCATCTTCGGATGGAACCATTAGTTGCACCGATTTGGAGACTGGAATTTCATTATCATTGATGAACCTTAATCCTGATGGGTGGCAGGTATTTTATTTTCCAAAATCAAAGTCCACCTATTGTGTCATCTTCTATCCGGGGATTAATTTTTCATTTATCAATCAAGCTTTGCCACATGTGCGGTTTGTGATAAGATTTCTGAATCTATACATTTAGAGTTGTGTGTGATTCTTGTACTTGATTTTCAAGCTCCTTAACCTGGTGAAAAGATTCTCACTGTTTCTATGGACCATCCTTGTATTTAGTGTTTTCTTAATAATTTTGATTCCTTTATTCTCTTTTTTAAGTGGCCCTATTAAATAAAGTATTATTTCATTTGACTATAAATGATATGCTTATAAGTGACAAAGTAGACTTAAAGTGAAATAAGTTCCATGTTATGTGGAATGCATCATACACCTACCTATTTTTGTTTCGATGATTTTTCATCCAATGGCGCAGCAATTCACCATTCTATGTAATCATATAAGCTATCAGCTGATGTTTATTGATTTATATGAATTTATTTATCATGGAAATCTTTCTAATGTCAAAGCATATTACTCTGCCTAAATAGCAGCAATACTCGACATATTGACTTGTTTATTATTAATGTCTGCTTTTCTATATTTTATGTTGCATGACCTGCCTCCCAATAGGACATATGGTCAGCACCAGCGTTTTTGTTCTGACGGTTTATAGTTGTTTACCTGTCCCCCCTCTTTTCCTTTTTCTGTTCTTCCTTTCATATGTTCGTGGAAATTGAGGGGAGAAGGGGGGATTTAATATGTCCCATATACTATTGTGGGAGTCTTGGATTTGTTATCACAGAATCAGTTTTGGTTGGTTGCCTGTAGGGACCAAGCAGTTGGAGGATGTTGTATGGGTTGGCTATAAACACCGAAAAAAGTCTTGTTCTTGTAGCAGATAATTTTGGATATCTCTACGTGTAAGTATCCTTTTGACCTTCTACCCAATGGCTACAGTAAAATCTTGCGTCTGGGGAGATGTAGAAGCAATGGATTAGTCTGGACTCTGTTTTCAGTACATTATAGCTACTTTTTGCCACTTCCTTTGTGCTGCCCAGATACCGATATATGTACTGGGACAACAAGATGAATTTTATGTTATAAGAAAATGTGTATTTCATTTATCATGTGCTCTGTGTATTGTCTGCCATTTGAACCATGTGACTGATGGGCTAAATTCACAGTGAACAATATTCTGATTCGTGGTTGGCGATTCTGATCGTTTAACTTACATTTATACATTTGATATCTGTGGCCCAAACGCTTCTAAGACTTTCGATTTATGGATGATTTGGGTCACCTTTTCTGCCATTGTTTTTATACTTTAAACCGTTTACACTTCTAAATTATTTAGAGAGGATTTGAACCAATGCATAATAGAGATGGTTCTTATAAATGGTGATTGTGTGATACCAATCTGACCGTGTTTATTTGTCTGGATTTATTTTTGGTTAATGATAAACTTAGTGATGAATTCAAAAAAAAATTTAGATGTCTGCATGCTGCAATTGTGTTGTTTGGGTTAATTCAGCTATGAGATTTGAGAGTTTGTTATGCCCATAAACGTGTATTTATTGAGTGATCTGAAGTTTGAAAAAGAAAAATGCTGGAACAATGAAATTTTGTAAAAGGAAAGGAAGGGGAAAAAAGAGGGGGGTGGGGGGGTGTTCCTTTTTGGCTTAGGGGGTAATTTTCGTTGTTCGAATTTTTAATAGAATCAGGGACTGTCCTAGACCTAGGCCACTTAGGTGGCTGCCCAGGTCCCCTAGTTATATTAGGGCCCCTGAGTTGAAACCAAGACAGACATTAACCATTTAGGCCACTAAAAAACTAGTGTTTAAGAGACTGTCTTGGTCACAACTTTTTCATATATTTTTCTGTTTATCAAGTTGCTTGTCTTTGTGCCTTTCCAGCGAGAAAAATATGCATAAACTAGGTTGTATTCTTTTATTGGCATATGTAGGGTGGATGTCCGGTCCAACAACAAACTGGGGGATTCTATTTTGATTCATAAGAAAGGAAGCAAAGTTGTTGGGCTACAATGCAATCCTGTTCAGCCAGATCTACTTTTAAGTTGTGGAAATGATCACTTTGTAAGGTTTTTTAATTCAACAGCTGCTGTATTACTGTTGTTGGCATGCTTAAACATTCATAATGTTACATAATGAAATGGTTTTTGCATCTTAGGCTCGTATCTGGGACATGCGCCGGTTAGAAGCTGGATCTTCTCTTTATAACCTTTCACACAAACGTGTTGTCAACTCGGCATATTTTTCTCCACACAGTGGGAGCAAAATACTTACTACATCACAGGATAACCGTCTTCGTGTATGGGATTCTATCTTTGGCGAGTTGGATTCCCCAAGCCGAGAAATTGTACATAGCCATGATTTCAATCGACATCTTACCCCTTTTCGGGCTGAATGGGACCCAAAGGTGATACTTTAATGTTTGTGGCATGGAGAACTCATCTATTAATTACTTTCTTGACAAAGAACTGGAAATATTAAGATTTATAGGTTTTTTTTTTCCCTAATGCAGGACCCTTCGGAGTCCCTCGTAGTTATTGGGCGTTATATCAGTGAAAATTATAATGGTGCTGCCTTGCATCCCATTGATTTTATAGACATCAGCACAGGGCAACTAGTTGCTGAGGTCATGGATTCAAATATTACAACTATCAGTCCTGTGAATAAGCTACATCCACGGGAGGATGTTCTGGCTACTGGCAGTTCAAGGTTTGAACTATCGACTATGCACTTCTGGTGTTAAATTGTTGTCAAGAATATGCTACTCAAGCGCCAGAAGCTATTACTAATTCAGCATTCTAATTACATGATTTTCCTTTTATTACACTTGCTCCTTTCTGCCAGTTCTTTGCAGGTGGTTTTTTTCGTAGCCCCCCATCATGTCTTAAAAACAAGTTTTTTTGAGTCTTTTGTCACTAATTCTTTGGCTGCAAATTGCTGAAACGCATTTGTGTAGCTTATATCTGGTTGTTGGGAATTCGCACAACTTTTGCTAGGTGGAGTTCTCAATTTCCTCATTTGCTGGTACTTAGTTATGTACTCATTCTTTCTAGTGTTCCCATGCTGAATTAATGTTTTTCTCTCTCCAGCTTTCTTCTGTGAAGTTTTCCTTGTATAAACTCTTTTTTGTTTTCCTTTTAATGTGTTTTCCAGTCCTGTTGAGATGTCTTCTTGGGGGCGTTAAGGTATAGTTGGGTATTAAGTTCAAAATTTTCAGTGGATTATTTGAAATGATCCGTTTTCCTCTTCTGTTTTCATATGATAGTCCTGATTGTTTATTTGTCAATGCTTTTTGTTGCTAACTATGCAACTCTGTCAGGTCTCTCTTCATTTGGAAGCCCAAAGAGAATTTTGAGATTGAACAACCACGGGATGAGAAAAAGATTATTCTTTGTGGAAAGGCCGAGAAGAAACTCAAAAAGAAGCTCGAGGGCGACAGTGATGATGATTTTGATGATGATGCATTCAGTTCCAAGGGTAAGAAACCCAAGACAAAGAAACCTTATTCAAAATCAATTCTGTGTAAATCTAAGAGTAAATGCTGAAGCTTATGAACAGAAATATCCCAAGGAGGTTCCCACTGGCCAATTTTGTATGGGCTAATGCATTGATCCTCCTCGTTTCCTTTTGGCTGTGAACTTGTTCCTCCTACCGTGGTAGCGTTGAACAGGATATGCAGCTCTGCAACGTTTTGGCTGCCTTTTTGGTTTTTTTGTACTTTCTGGCAACTGTTTTGTAAAATAAAATGTCTATATGTTTTGCCTTGTTGGAATTGTGCAATTTTAGCTACGGTTTGGATTATTTGGTGGGAAAGAATGATTGGATGGTGAAAGGTTTAAGGGGTTGCGTCTTCTTTTTGTCATCTTCTGAAGTCTCGACCATTAAGGTTTCTAATGAATTTTGCTTTTTTGTATTTTGGCGGGATGCGGAGCTATCTATAGAGTCAGTTTACGTGTATTTAGATTAATTTTTTTTTAATTCAATCAAAGTACTGAAATATTTATGAAGAATAAATATTTTATGATCTAATTTTAAAAAATTACCAAGATTTGAACTCAAAGGCGTGTAGATTTTTTTTATTGTGTCATGCATCGTGTTTCTATTTCATTTTATTGTTAATTCCTCTTGTTCTCTACATGGCACTCTTGATGACGCATTTATGTTACGGTTATTAATTTGATCTATCAAATACAAACATAATACAAAATTGACAATCAACACATTAATTTTTTTTTATATAATTATTGATGCAAATACGACATAAATTACAATGCCAAAATTTGAAAATGGCAGGTCAAGTGACACGAATTGATACTCCTAATTTATGCTAAGTTAATTGGATAATTGGTTGTAGCACACGGCTTCGGCCATTTTTGACGTAAGTTAGTTCCTTTTGCACGCACGGTGATGGGAGATCTTTCCAACATTTATTGATCTCTCTTTATCTCGCAAACCAGTATGTGTGCACATCATCTATTTGTTTTAAAATAGACTTTTGAAAATAGATTTTTGAAATACCTAACTGTTTTAGTAAAAGTGTATTTTAAAAATAAGTCTATTTACAATTAATTATGTTTATCTACAATTAGTTAATCGTTTTTTTTTGTTTTCTATCTTATAATCTAAAATATATAAATTATCTTGATGATGCCCTAAATTTTTTTTGAACACCAAATAATTTTATTTCTTTAAAAACATGATAGACTTTTGAGTTATCCGCCAAACATATTGATGCACTTTACTAAACAAAAGAGCCGAGAAAGAGTATTTTCCTTAATTTACTCACTAATTTAGCGAAGTTTATAGTTAAACACAGTGCATGATTTGACATTATGAATGGCACAACTCACCAACAGCCCATGTTGGGTTCTTCTTCTCTCTCTTACACATCCACAAAACCTCATACCACCACTCTTCTGGCCTAATTTGACCTCCATTTTGCAACCAAGCATTCTTCCACCATCGATTTTTACCCTAATACAAAATGAACAGAAAATTCTGATTACACAATTAGAGGGAGGAGAGGCTGGCGGCGGTGGGCAACGATAGTGAGTGCGTACAGGTCTGTTGTGAGAGAGACGAAGGGGGGTGAGGCGTGCAATGGTGGGTGACTATTTGTATATATATCTATCACCCCTCCAAGTGGAATCACTGGGGTTACCGTTACACAAATGCCATTGGGACAGGGTCATAATTGGGAGATTTATTGCATTGTGATAGTGACGTTCATTTAATAGGATCTATTTATAATTTAATGACCATAATTACTAAATTCCTAAATTATATTCTTAAGATTGAGATCTTCGTCATTATTTTTTTTTTTTATACAAATTCACTTAATGGTAAATCACTAATTATATATTTAAGTAGGATCCATTATTTATATATGGACCCTTAACCCGCATACGGTTAGGCTAGTCCACGGATTAGGTTTAGATCGGATTTCGAATCCAAATTGGATTTCAAAAGTTTGATCCGAATTTGATCAGATAATTCAACAGTTTTTATTTTTGTAGTTCATATCTTAATTCTTTAATAATCCAACATTTCGATCTGATTTGAATAACTTAATTAACTAAAATTTAATAAATCATACTTTAATTTTAATTAAAGTTCTTTAAATAATCACTTAATTTCTTAATATTTATATAAAAATATATAAATAATTCGGATCTAATCGAATATAAGTAAATTTAAATCCAAATTCATGAAATATAAGATATTTGATTTAGATTCAGGTTTGAATTATCAATAAAAAATATTAATCTATATTTAGCAAATCTGATTCGAATTGAATTTTGATCAAAATCTTATCCATTGACAAGCATACATGCGATCGATAATCTACCATTAAGAAAAATTCTGTAAAAAAAATAATATAGAGGATTTAAATCTTTTAAATTAGAGGAATATTATTTAGATTTCAAATTTGACTTAATTTACTGACATAATGATGTGTTTTCATTAGAATCATTGGATCAACACCAAATTTTAATGTTTGATAGAGTGTATAATGAATATAAAAATCGTAATAAATTAGATCAATAAATTATATTAATAAATTAACTCTTAATAACCGTGCTCTTTAAATTATATCCCAATAGGATTGCTGGGGTTAACCATGGTTGCCTATGATCCCATTGAAGCTGAAGCTGCCTCTCGGATAATCCGGATCTAACAATAGTCTCAACGGTAACGTTTTCAATATCTTCCGTACACGTGTAACAATCATGTACCACAATTACTTTCCCCGTGAACTGGGCAAAGAAAAAGTAACTGGCAATCTTTACACCGTTCAATGTTGCGATGGACACTTTCGTCTTTTTACGTCTTCAAAATTCGCGGGACAAGCTCCCTCATGCCATGCCTTCATCACGGAAAGTCGGAAAACGCTCAGTTGTATTAAAACTCTCCCAGGCCCAAGTATGCACACATCGAGTCAGTTATAGAGAGAGAGACATTTAACTTTAGAGAGAGAAGTGGCTTTCCGATCAAGAAAGTGAACCTATAGAGAGAGGCAGAGAGAGAGACAGTTAGAGAAAGTGGGACTCTCGCTATCAGACTAGCAAAGTAAAATCTAGGGACAGAGAGATAGAGAAGAGAAATCTCTCTCAGAAACTAGCTATATAGAGGGAGAGGAGAGAGAGATAGAGCAGAGGGAGACCGATCATGGCAGCTTCGAATGGGAGCGAGTATTTTGAGATAGATGTGGAAGCTCAGAAATATGAGAACTTTTCACGGGCGTCGAATGCCGAGGCGGTAGCAATGGACGAAGCAGAGCTTCGTTGGGCGGCGCTGGAGAGTTTGCCGTCGCAGAAACGGACGAATTTCGCGTTGCTGAGACGAACAGCGTCGGAATCGGACGGCGGAGAGGAACGAACCGAGACGGTGGACGTGAGGAAGCTGAATCGGTTCAATCGCGAACTCGTTGTTAAAAGAGCATTGGCTACGTCTGAGCAGGACAATTTCAAGCTCCTCTCTGCCATTAAAGAACGACTAGATAGGTGATACCTAGGAGTCTCTCTCTCTTTCTCTCTCTTGTCTGTGTGTGTGCGTGGGTATACGTGTGTGCGCCTAAATTTCATATTCATGTAATGCGTACCATTAATTTCCTTACAGTCATACGGGTGCATGGACAATAAAGATTACGTTCATCTATGCTTCTAAATGTTAATCTATTTAGGATTACCAAGAAGAGAGAATTCATACTAGTTGTGTTTTCCCTCCTGCAAAAAGATGTGTATTCCCTTATTAGTTTATCTTCTCATGAATTTTTTCTGACTATTTTCTATTTAAATCTTTATCATGATAAAGAGTCGGGTTAGAGGTTCCGAAGGTTGAAGTTCGTTTCGAAAACCTAAACATCTCGGCCAATGTGCAAGTCGGTTCCAGAGCTTTGCCCACTTTGGTCAATTATGCTCGTGACGTGATTGAGGTAGAGTATTTTCTGTCGTATTTTTGTCCTCTAACTACATACGACCTGTTTTCCAGTTCTGAATTGACTAATTTTCAAGTGATGTTGATTGAATGCAGCAAGTTCTAACTAGTTCAAAGATCTTTCGGCCCAACAGACATTCGTTAACCATCTTGAACAATGTGAGTGGTTTTGTGAAACCGGGAAGGTAATATTCTTCTTGTTTCTTACAGAATTAGCACATTCTTTTCGATAATGGATATGCATAAATTGGTGTGGTTTATGTTGCTGTTATATAACCTTTCTGAAAGCCATGTAAATGGAAATTAGCATTAGACCAGTAGCATTATATGGACAGTATATTATCTTTGAAGTTTGAATCTGTAAGTTCTACGGCCTTACATATCCTTTTGGGGCACCTGACCTTTTGGAAAGAATTTTCCAGGCAGTGGCAGCTGGTTCTTAGTGGAATAATACCTCATCTTGTGATAAAATTCTGCAAAATTAACTCAACTTTATCAGGGGGAGATTAATAGGACTTCTTATAGTTTGTGTTCTACAAAGGAGTGGAATCATTGGTACTCATATTGTAATATGTTTCAAAATTACAATTGGGGGTGAGGTCATTTCTCTCCATTCACATTTTTTTTGTTGAAATTTTGTGCTTGGCCTGATTAATAAATGCACCATTGTGGTGCTTTTGTGATTTTTAAATCGTGACAGCAATTTGATATTGTTTGTGGCGTGTGAATGCATGATGCAGCATTCGAGTCCTACTTGGAACGTTCTTTCTTTCTTGTTTGTGTACTACTTGTCTATTGGGTAGGCCTTATGTATTTCTGTGGTTTCCCTTTTTCTGTTGGGATGGGTTATTTATTTATTTTTTTTTTTTTTTGGGTGGGGGGGGCACAAATTAAGCCTTCTATTGAAAGAAATTGAAATGCTGATAATATGGCCATTCCTGCTTGAAGATTTTTCTGTTATGACTCTCTCTCATGCCCACATTTCATTTGGTTCTTTAGTCCAGGAGTATTTCTCAAATAGATGTTATTCTTCTAATACACCTTTTTTAGTATCTGAGATAGTTAAGGATGAGGTACAGAAGATGCAATAATTCATTGTCTGTCATGCGAGACGAGATGAAAATTAGTTTTCTTTATCCTTGTTGACAGTTTAAAATAGGAAATCAAATCAGTTTTTTCATGTCCAATAATGTTAAGAAAAACCTAATTATCTTACAAAGTGGATTCAAAAGTAAAATTCACACATATGATAAATGATTTGTCTTGTGGATTTCATTTCATATATTAAAGCTTTATCAGTACATTCTGTGAGTTTAAAATGTGAATATATTGATCAGCAATTTCTTTGTACCATTGTTCAGATCGAAAGAGATGCAGCCACATAGATCAAGGTTCAATGGATGGCACAAGCCTAAAACACACACACACAATAATAGCCCACACAAAGTGCCAAAGCCTCTAAGAAATCATTGTTTTCTTCTTTTTGACTTTTCTAATGCTCCTAGCATTCATCTATCATTCTTTTGTTTGAGATTTTTCTTTTTTAGATGTCCTAAATGTTTTGTAGGTTGCATGGCACGTGCCTAGCATATCTTTCATGTGTTGGGTTGGTGGACATGGCAAAACCAACATCGGAAATACTAATTAACAAGAAATTTGAAAATAACTTTCTCAACTAAAACTTCCCTACCAACTGGAATGGTATTGTGGCCTATCCATCACATAAATCATGAGACACAATAATCTATAAATGCTTTTCTTAGGAGGATTTCTAAATCCCCTCCCGAACGAAAAAGGAAGGGTAACTGTTAAAGAGTCTAAAAAAAATGTTGTGGCATAGTCACGTTACTCATGTTAGCAGGTTTGAAACTCTGAAACAGTAGATCATGATGGTTTGAAAGTTGGGACACATTACAACTCAAATTTAACTGTCTTACTGTTAGTACTATCGAACTTTAATTAAGACTGGTATATTATTGAAGCTTATGGTCTCTATTCTGCTCTTGCTAGGATGACATTGCTTCTAGGGCCTCCAGGTTCTGGGAAGTCCACTTTACTTTTAGCTTTAGCAGGCAAACTCGACAATGGCTTAAAGGTTAGTACACGAGTCTGACAAGGTTTTGGAAATTCCAGTAAAGACAATATTTCTTGTTGCTTATCATTGCCTGATATTGGATGATGGAAGATGCTGTCATAAGTTTAAACTACTAACTCCAGATTCGCCTTGTGCAATCCGTGGATGGCCTGTAATGGGATTTGCAGAAATATATGTAATATGAGACAAAAAAGGGAGAAGAAAACTGTGAGAACATGAGATAGAAAGATGAAAAAAGGAATTAGAAAACTTTTCTTTCTACAAATTTTGCTAATGGGCGATCTAATATTGTTGGATGAAATTAATTATATTTTCTAAGAAGAAGAGCTAAATGGAGCTAAAAGGCATGGGATTAATGAATTTATTTATTTGAAGAATAACCTCAGATTTATACATCTTATCTCTCTCATATGATATAGACAGGACAGGAGACTTGTGTATCACTTATGACCACTTGTTTTAGATATAATTTTAGACTAACTTTATGTAAAGAGGACAACTGCTCAATTAAAGTTCCCATACTAAAGTTGGTTAAGTCGGTTATTGTTTTTCAATCCATACCTGGAGTGGCTGCTGTATAAGGGTGACCCTACAAAGTGAAAGGCTTGGAATTGACTTTAATGGATTTCTTGTTTATCTTTTGTAGATTGAAAAATTGTACTCCCGAGAGTTGCTTTGGTTCTGTTTTGCTGAATTATGTATGACTGAAGAGAGAGTCTGCTTTTATGTAAAACTGAAAAATAGATGTCTTCTTCAATATTATGTCAACATTTAGTAACCTTAATTTTGCTTTTTATTCATACAAGTAAATGTAAAATAGTCTGCCTCAAATGAAAAAGAAATAGAACGAGAATTAGCCTTCACTTGGATTTCAATCGTAAAATAGATTCCAGCTCGCTCATAATTAATTTCCGTTTCATAAGATTGCATATAGGACAAGCAACGGTTATAAGCTTAATGATTTCTAAGTTCAAAGGACTTCCGCTTAGACGACTAAAACAGATAATCACATCACCAAGCTAACTGTACGTAACCTAAAGTTACAGCTAGCTCTGCTATGTGATTATCTGTTTTCATTATGCAAGTGGGAGTCCTTTGAATTACTTGTTAGGTTTTTGTACACACAAAACTTGAGTCTCTCAAATTGGCTGATGTTACTTTGGTTCTCTTTTGCGTGCCATCAAATAATGTAATGACTGAAGAAGCTTTTATGTGTCACCGAAATGTGTTTTTGAATTTATATCGACTTATATTGATCTTCATTTCTTCTTATTCATATTTGTAAATAGAAAACAATCTGCTTCAGATGGAAGAGAAACAGAAAGAAAGTTGGCTTTTACTTATATTTCTTCTCTCTAATAAATTCTGGCCCTCTTTTAAATAACATGATATTGTGATTTCAGAAAAGTGGGAATACAATGTACAATGGTCATAAACTTCATGATTTCCAAGTTCAAAGGACTTCTGCTTACATAAGTCAAACAGATAATCACATCGCGGAGCTAACTGTACGCGAAACGCTAGATTTTGCAGCTAGGTGTGAAGGTGCAAGTGAAGGCTTTGCAGGTGTGCTGTATTCATTGGCAAGAATATTTGTTTTGTCTTATTTATTTTTTTCACAATGAGTATATTCTTGGTCTTTGATTTATCATGTAGGTTATGTGATTAGGTTTTGGCATCACTCTATTATATTACCTCATCAATGACTTAAATCTTAACTTTTCATTCACGCTGACTATCTTGTCACTTTGCTTTTCTTTCTTCAAGAAAGACGAAAAACTGTGAATTCTTCTAGATCAGAACTCATGGTCAGAACATCAAAATAGTATTTTATTTATCAAATTGTCCTTACAAGTTAGTCCTTTTTTTTTTTTTTTCCAATTATTGCTACTGGCCTTATGCACTGGTAGTATACATCTGCCTTAATTTGTGGGGGAAAATATAGGGATAGAACTCTAGCTACGACAGCTGTATAAGAGGGTGGCAGCACATCTAAGGGTACAATAAATATGCATAGTCTCTATGAGCTTTGTCCAACTAACATCTCTATTTCTTAAATTACAATGAACAACCACTGACCCCTCACACAACTTAACATTTTTGTGAATGACTCATCTCATTTTATTGTGTGACTGGCCTTCTAGCTTTAGAAACTTAGGATCGGTTTGTGTTCTGCTAGCATGATCAAATACTACACAATGTTTTTGTCCTACAAAATTATGCCCGCCAGAAGTAATTATTTTGGTTGTGGAATTATACACCTACCCCTCTATATATAAATTGTGCATTCATATCATTCAATTATTGGCTATTGTGACACCAGTCATGTTAAACTTGTGAATTTGGTCCAATTCTGAAGCTAAGCAGACCAAATAGATTCAGTGATTCAAGAGTCATCTCAATATTTGCTTTGGGACAATTTGACTCTCGATGATAACGATTGAAGTGCCTTTTCTCTTTAAAATTATATATTTATATACATCTGTGTAGTGTACAATTGTTTTTCCCCTTGGTGTTTATTCTTCATGTTTATTTCACTTCTCTTCTATACCAATCTGGACTCATCTTCATCTTTAATTAGTTCCTGTTGAAATCTTTTCTCCCTTAAGTTTGACTTGTCTTCTAAATTACTCCGGACTCAGCTCCATCTTTAATTGGTATCTGTTGCATTGTTTACTTCTATAGCCATGCACGCGTCTCCAATTTCTGTGCTTGTTACAATTCTATAATGCTAAACATGTTTATTTCTTAAATCTCATTTTACATAATATTAGTCTTCAATAGATTCTGTAAACTCCCTTGATTTGGAATGCTAAGACAACTAAGCCTTTGTTAGATATCACGGGAAGGGATATACTGTCAACTACTCATATACTTTATGATTGTAATCTGCTAGCTCCATGTATGGGCTAACAGGCCAAGTTTTGCAAAATATTGGATGTGTCATTGTGGTCATCCGATCCCTTTTGATTTTTTTATGCAGGATATATGAATGATCTTACTCGTTTAGAGAAGGAAAGGAACATACGTCCCAGTCCTGAAATAGATGCTTTTATGAAGGTCAACATTTCAATTACATCTGTGCCTCACATGTATACACATATGGTTAGTTTTGTCCTGTAATTTGACTAGATGAAATATAATGGCTCAGGCATCATCTATTGGTGGTAGAAAGCACAGTGTCTCTACAGATTACATCTTGAAAGTGCTTGGTCTTGATGTATGTTCAGAGACTTTTGTTGGTAATGATATGCTTAGAGGTGTTTCAGGCGGCCAAAGAAAGAGAGTCACTACAGGTCTCTCTCTCTCTCTCTCTCCCCCCCCCCTCCCCCCCGGGGCCAAAGAAAAAAAAACATTTCTCTTCAATGCTAAAATTTGCCAACTTTATGTTGCTTTGCCTTGTGTGTCCTTCACTATGATTTCTGGGTGAACTTTCTCTATCTTGTATTGTATATTGCTCCACACTTTTTGATGCTAAATGAGTATGCATCATTAAAATAGATTTGCTCTTGAATCTTATAGTAAGTTCAGGAATATATATTTTAGCCTGAGTTTAAACATCCAATGTAATATGATCTCTTGATGGTGTTTTTGAACACCTGGTAATATTTTATTCCGATGTCGGAAATGTTGATGTTGTTTAAAAAACTGAAACTTGAACTGGAGAGGTCAATTGAATAATATCAATCCAAGATTTCTGAATATAGTTCCCTTCATTGCAAAACCAACACTAAAGGCAGGAATAGTCTTGAGGTACTTACCTAGTGTAAGCTTTATGTTGCATAAGTTCATATTGAGGAGCATTCTGGTGTATTGACATATACTGAAATTTGCCGACTTTATGTTGCTATGCCTCGTGTGTCCTTCACAATGATTTCTGGGTGAACTTTCTCTATCTCGTATTGCATATTGCTCCACACTTTTTGATGCTAAATGAGTATGCATCATTAGAATAGATTTGCTTTTGAATCTTATAGTAAGTTCAGGCATATATATTTTTTAGCCTGAGTTTAAACATCCAATGTAATGTGATCTCTTGATGGTGTTTTTGAGCACCAGGTTATATTTTATTCCAATGTCGGAAGTGTTGATGTTGCTTAAAAAAATGAAACTTGAACTGGAGAGGTCAATTGAATAATATCAATCCAAGATTTCGGAATATAGTTCCCTTCATTGCTAAACCAACACTAGAGGCAGGAATAGTCTTGAGATACTTACCCGGTGTAAGATCATTTTGGTGTATTGACATATACTTTATACCTCCTTAATTTTAACTATTACCATGACAAGTCTTGTCTGGTTTGCTCACAACTGTCAGCATCATTATCTATTCACTACTTTTCTAAGGGAATGGGAGGGTTAGGAGTCTTAGGACACAGTTTTCATTGGTTGATTTCTTAAACTGGTCCTTACACATAAGGGTTGGAAGTCATTGGTGTAGAAATTGCAATCCTCTGTATGATCGCTTGGATGGAATGAAAAACTGCAATCCAATGATGGAGTGATGAATTGCAATCCACTGTATGTGAAGTGACTAAGTGCTTGTTGCCAGTGCCAGTTCACCTAGTAGCTAGTTGACTTCCACTACCGAATGGTATACCACAACTTAAGAGTTTAAAACTTCAAGGTTGGCAAAGCACGTCTTAATGATCCAAAAGTTCTTTCTGCTGTGTGGAATAAGAGGCCTTTATGTCTAATGCATATGAATTGAAGCAATGGCAAGGATATCTCTAGTGGAACATCTTTTGCAATCCCTGGTGAGATGTTTTGTTAACAATGGGATAAGTTACTTAATTCATTGGCATGTTAAAAATTGGATAATGCAACAAATTATACATTCATATTTTTTCACCGCAGCATTGTTTTTTCTTTCTAGTTTTTATCCAAACTCATCAAAACATCAGTTAAGATTGTTCACAATCATCTACTCGTAGAAGCTTAGACTAGCATATAAACTCTGTGGTGCATATGCTTCTGTCTTTTTTTCCATATTACTTTATGAGTCTTTTGATGTGTCAACCTTCATATGTAAAAAGGAGGAGAACATGAAAAAGAACTTCATATGCAGCTGCCTGTGCATATTGCAGAAGAAATTTTCACTGAGATTCGTTCTGGCACAATTTCTGTCATATCTTCATGGTTGACTTTGCCATAATTTTGTAGGAGAAATGGTAGTGGGTCCCAGAAAAACCCTTTTTATGGATGAAATATCCACTGGACTTGATAGCTCTACAACATACCAAATTGTGAAGTGCTTGAGAAATTTTGTTCATCTAATGGAAGGGACAGTTTTGATGGCTCTTCTTCAGCCCGCACCTGAGACATTTGACCTGTTTGATGATCTGGTGTTATTATCAGAAGGACATATGGTGTATCAAGGCCCTCGAGCTGAAGTTATAGAATTCTTTGAGTCATTAGGTTTCCGATTGCCACCTCGTAAGGGAGTCGCAGATTTTCTTCAAGAGGTACCTCTATGTTTGGTCGTTGACTATTTTGCTCAAAGCTTACTAGCTAATTGCCTAACTTAACTTTGCTTTTATAGGTGACCTCAATAAAGGATCAGGCACAGTACTGGGCTGATTCTTCAAAACCATATGTGTTCCTTACTGTTTCAAAAATTGCTGAAGCTTTCAGAAGTTCCAGATGGGGAAGTTCTGTCAAGTCCTCTCTTTCTGTTCCATATGATATATCAAAGTGCCATCCTTCAGCTCTGTCCAGAACAAAGTTTGCCGTATCAAAATGGGACCTCTTTAGGGCATGCTTTGCTAGAGAACTGCTTCTAATAAGTAGACATCGGTTTCTTTACATTTTTAGGACATGCCAGGTATGTCATTTTTATGATCTCATACTTCTTTTTCAACTCTTTTGGATTGTGAAAATTCATTCATTTATCTATTTATTTGTTGTTTACTGACGTTGACCATATGTATACTTAAAGGTATATATTTGGTCAGGTTGCAGCTTGTTGGATTAATCCACTTCTTGTTCTAAGCATTTTTCATAGTCTTCCATACTAGTTTCAAAACGGGGTCCAACCCATGTACAATATTAGGTTCCTGAGAAAAATTTAGGACTTTGAGTGTATTTGGCTTCAAACATTGAACAAGCACCTAATTTTGATGGGGAAAGAGGTACATGCTCTACCTGGAAAGCAGAAACAGATCTTGTGGCAAACAATTTTGTCTTGTCGCCCTAAAAATCACCGGGAATACAATAAATGGTTTGTAACCACAAACATCTCCGATAGTACGGCATTGTGGTTTGGACTCTGACCAGTTTCATCAAGTGCTAGGGGTTTGTACAAATCTCACAAGAGAGACGCATGAAAGTGATCAGTAGTAGGAGGAAAGGGAGCAGAGGAGGGAGGAGGGAGAGAGGAAGTCCTATGTCCCGAGGGGGAATGTAAGAGAGAATAAATACAGACTAATCTATGTTGTAGGAAATAATGAGCAAATGGGGTAATTTTAAAATGGGAACTTTCTTGATTGTTCTGATATGAAACTCTGTAATTTAGTTTTATATCTAGTTTGGTAAGTGACACTTGGTATGGCATGGTGACATTGTATTGTCGACATAAACTTGAATTGTCATCTTCATTTGTACTTTGAATCTGGCCATCTTAACAGCTTCTCCAGTTCCATTTCCTGACATTGCCGCTGCATTTCACTAGAATCTTTTCGCAATTTTGCAGAATGTCACCAGAATTGTTTAACTGGTTGAATATTGCTGTCAAGAAAAAAATTATGTCGAAAATAAAACGCCTGGTGAAGCCAATTGTAAGGAAGGACGCCAGGGAAGTTGTCCCACACAAAGATTGGAAAGGGAAGTTTTAAACAAATAATGCTTATGGGCAGTGGTTAAGCCATCTTTCACTATGATGTAAAATTTGTTCCTAGTTATGCAACACAATATCAAACAATGTAAGTCCAGATTTGCAAAAAGGAAAGATAGACTTGTTCCTTTGTAAGTCATGTGTTACATATTGGTTAGAAAGCTATACTAATTTGCTGCTTTTGCTTACCACCTACTTTCTAATACGTGCATTTGTGTATACCAATTGATCTGTAAAAGTTGCCAAAATAAATTATCTTCATCGTTGTACTTTATCTCATGTGATTACTTCTTACAGCTGATAGATTTATTTCAAAGCTCTATCTGGGTGTACCTTATCATTTAATAATTTTGTATTCAGTTTGTATCTCATACCTTTCTGTTACATGTTTTACAGGTTGCATTCGTAGGATTTGTCACATGTACTATGTTTTTGCGAACAAGAATACACCCGACAGACTTGATAAATGGCAACCTGTACCTTTCTTGTCTGTTTTTCGGCCTGGTGCATATGATGTTCAATGGGTTTTCTGAGCTACCTATAATGATATTTCGACTTCCAGTATTTTATAAGCAAAGAGATAATAATTTTTATCCTGCCTGGTCGTGGTCTATTTCTAGTTGGATTCTGCGCGTACCTTATTCTGTCATTGAAGCTGTTGTTTGGTCTTGCGTTGTATACTACACAGTTGGATTTGCCCCTGGCGCTGGAAGGTATCTCCTGTTTAATTCACAATAGTAGATGTTTGTTCATACATTCATCATATTCATCACCTTTTTGTCACCTTTTAATTGTTTCAGGTTTTTCCGTTATATGTTTTTACTCTTTGCGATTCACCAAATGGCGTTGGGTCTCTTCCGGGCAATGGCTGCTATTGCACGGGATATTATCATTGCCAATACATTTGGATCAGCTGCACTCCTTATCATATTCTTGCTGGGCGGATTTATTGTGCCAAAAGGTATGGTTTTGTAGTTTTCTCAGATATCTTTTACAGGCACAATGCCGTGAGTGACTCGTTACTCTTCTTTTAGAAATGATCAAGCCATGGTGGGCCTGGGCTTTTTGGGTATCACCATTATCCTATGGGCAACGAGCAATTTCTGTCAATGAATTTACTGCGAGAAGATGGATGGAGGTGTGCTCTTAAGACCAGTGGATGACTTGGCTGTACTATATTTCTTAATATTAGACAATATTAAGAAATACATTTTTTTCGTTATATTTTCTTGTGAAATGATTACTGAGTGAGACTTGGGTACTGTCAAGTTTCAGAGATCTGCCGGTGGAAACACAACTGTTGGATACAGTGTTCTCCAGTCGCATAGTCTACCTACTTCTGGCTATTGGTATTGGCTTGGAGTTGGTGTTTTATTGCTGTACTCTATTTTTTTCAATATCATTGTGACATTGGCTTTGGCCTGCCTCAAGCGTAAGTCTTAGGGCACTATCCCTGTTTCTGTATCTCCTTTAATGCTTGTAATATGGACTGGTAATTGGATATCATCAACATATGTATGCCCACTTTTGTGTATAAAAGAAATATCATCTCTATCCTGTTTTTTCCCACAGCCAGCAAAAAAGGCCAGACGACTATTCCAGTAAATGTTGTGGAAGAGAATTCAGCTGGGGATGGTGGTTAGTTATCTTAAGACTTTTTCACTAATAATAACTCGTTCTTATTTTGAGTTGATGGCTCTTCTATCAGATGACCTTCAATTGTTCTGTAATTTTTGTGATATTTCTTAAATATTTTCTTTGCACATGCATCTCAACTAATGGGCAGGAAGCGGTCAGGAATCTGAATTGAATCCAGTCTCTTGTGAGGATAGAGCTAAAAAGAAGGGAATGATTCTCCCATTTCAACCATTAACAATGACTTTCCATAATGTCAATTATTTTGTTGACATGCCGAAGGTGCGGAAATTCATTAATTATGGTTTCCCATACTAAGCTCTATTTCAACTTAGGCAAAACAAAATACGTCTTTGCGTTTTTCAGGAAATGAGGTTGAAAGGTATACCAGAAAACAAGTTGCAACTCTTATCCAACGTAAGCGGAGTATTCTCGCCAGGAGTTCTTACTGCCTTAGTTGGGTCAAGTGGAGCAGGAAAAACCACTTTGATGGATGTTCTTGCTGGTAGGAAAACTGGTGGATACATAGAAGGGGACATTAAAATATCAGGTTATCCAAAAGAACAACGCACTTTTGCAAGAATTGCAGGATATGTTGAACAAAATGATATTCATTCTCCGCAAGTGACGGTTCTGGAGTCTCTCTGGTTCTCTTCTTCTCTACGCCTTCCCAAGGAAGTCAAGAAAGAACAAAGACAAGTTAGTTGCAAAATACCTTTAAATTTTCAATTTCAGAAAATTTTGGGTTCTTGCTGGTTTCTTTTATCAGTTCCACAGAATTCTTCCCAACCTTGTTCTGCAGGAGTTTGTTGAAGAAGTGATGAGTTTAGTGGAGCTTAATACTCTAAGGCATGCTTTAGTAGGCTTGCCAGGTAGTACTGGCTTATCCACAGAACAAAGAAAACGTTTAACAATTGCAGTGGAACTTGTTGCAAATCCCTCCATAATTTTTATGGATGAACCAACATCCGGGCTTGATGCACGAGCAGCTGCCATTGTTATGCGAACGGTTCGTAATACTGTTGATACAGGAAGGACGGTGGTTTGCACCATTCATCAACCAAGCATTGAAATATTTGAGGCATTTGATGAGGTTTGTTGGCATAAGTTCTGTAATACAAAAGTTTTTCAGTGAACCATATGAAAGGTGTGAAGTGACTAAAATTTTAGTTTCATCATGCACACAGCTACTCCTTATGAAACGAGGGGGGCGAGTAATATATGGAGGGAAGCTTGGCGAAAAGTCACAAACTTTGATAAACTATTTTCAGGTAACAGCATATATGTGGTTTTATATTCAAGAATTCTTCCTTATCTGGTTCATCCTTGTCTAAAATATTAAAGACTACCAATAATATAAAACACTCTATAATATAAAAAATTAAACATTGATTGTGTAATTTTTATATTTTAAATAATAATTAATTCTTCCTTTCCTTTTTTTTTAATTAGGCAATTTAAGATAAAAGTGAATAGAAAGAAGATAATATGAGAGGTAAGTATGAATTAATGGAGTTATTTGACACATAATTATCTGATTTTATTAACCACCTAACGATTCACGATCTGGGTACATCGATTCTAAACGGAGTGGGTTCGCAATTCAAATCACCAAAATGTATGACCCCAAATTGAAATACTGACCTTAAATTGATTTGCTTAAAATATGTAGCACAAATATAAAATATATATTAATTGACTACGTAGATATAGATTTATAATTATACTAGTAATGCATCATGTATGTTGCACTTGAATATTTTTTGGAGTAATGATATGTATCCCAAATTTGCCTCCCAAATCAAGGAGGACCATTGGATCAGTGTATTCTATTTAAAAAAGGTGAAAATTGAAAATGAGTCCCCTTAGATGTACTTGTTTGGAGATAAGTTCTGCAATGAAACTTATATGGGGCTAAGTTCATGTTTAAAATTATATGTAATAACTTAATTCCACTTTTTTTTTTTTATATCAAAGATATCCTTCCTTAAAAGGAAGTTAATATTTTCTCTCTCATATCTATCTATCTTCATATATAGGTTAAGAGTTTAACTAACATTAAAATTTCTCCTCTCTTATCTATCTATATCCATATATAGGTTAGGTATATATATATAGTAACATTAAAAAAAAATAGTAACATTCAAATACAAAAACAAAAGTTACTATGAATTTGAATAGTAAAACTTTTAACGACAGATAATTAGGAACGGAAAGAGTACTATTTTTTGTATTTGAATGGTACTATTTTTTGCGTTTGAGTTTGAGAGAAATAATTATTGTTAAGTATGTTATAATTTTTGTTAAGTATGTTACTATTTTTATTGAACATGTTAATATTTTTGTTGAACATGTTACTGTTGTTATTTTTAAAAATATTAATATTGAATGTTTCAATTTTTTTTATGTTTAAATATTACTATTTTTTTGTGTTTAAATGTATTATTTTTTGTGTTCAAATGATAACTTTTTTTGTATTTGAATGTTACTATTTTTTATTTTTAATGTTACTATATATATATATACACACATATATATAACCTATATATAAATAAGAGAGAAAAAATTTTAATGTTAGTCAAACTCTTAAAATTTAGAAATTTTAAATTTTTAGTTTTATTTCACTTCTAAACGGAAGGAATAGTATGATAAAATTGACAAAAAATGGGCTTCATAACAAATAAGTTTTCTTGACGGACTTAAGTCCAAACAAGTCCATATAGGAGGATCGACTTCCAAATTTTCCCTAAAAAAGTTGATGGGACCCGCTGATCCAATGATTTTCCTTGATTTGGGATACATAGTATTACTCTATTTTTTGTATATAAAAATTATTAAATTTATAATTATACTAACACATATATAGACATAAAATTATTTTTGCATATAAGATGAGTAATATTAGATTGATGAAGTTTTTGAAAGTTTTTTGAACATTTTATTAAAAATATAATGATGCATATTTTTTAAAGGTAATATAATCAATCAAATTTTTTATAGAAATTAATATTTATACATAAAGAATAAATGATTAAAAGAGATATTATAAATAATTTAGAGATTTAAATACATAAGAATAACGATAATTTAAATATTTAATTGTGAAAAGAATAGAGTAATCTTTGTAATCATTTATAAGGGTAAAATAGAGATTCAGATTTTTTTTATGTTAAGGTACTTTTATTAGTATAGTATAGATAATATTTTAGATAGTAGAACATTGAATACAAATATAAGATAAATGGTAACTTAATGTTTAGAAAAAATTTTATCCACAGTTCCAATAGTTAAGTCTAAATTTAGTGACACTCCATCTTGATTCTGAATCTTCAATGTCCCCCCTGTTAGTGATTGTTGAGTTACAGTGATGGTTGATTTACATAAATACCTCTGAGTATTTTATAAGGTAAATGTTACTCACACCCCTTGTAAATATACATAACTTTAACAACACTCCCCTAAATAGACCTAATTTTAACAACATTCTCTCCTAATTCTAAAATTTTAATGCACTCCCTTGTAGTTATATTATATTAGCCTTTAGGTTGATCAATTTAATATTTAATTTTATCAAATTAATGTCGTTTATTTAATTGAAAATAAATTAATATTCCATCTCATCAAATCAATACAAAATTGATATTTAATTTTATCAAATTAGCATTTAGTTATTAATTTAATATATCATTTTATCAAATTAATATTATATCTTTAATTTAACATTAAATTACTATTTAATTTTATCAAATCAATACCAAATTGACATTTAATGTTATTAAATTAAAATTTAATATATTAAATAGAATATTAAATTTCATTAATTTAACATTTATCCTTATCAAATTAATGTCATTTCTTTAATTTAACATCAAATAAACATTCAATTTTATTAAAGTAACATTCTAATTTATTCAATTAACATTAAAATTTACGGAGAATTACATCCAGACCCCTTGAGGTTTATCATTTAATCACTCAAAACCCTTGATATTTGAAATATTACACAGATCCCTTGAGATTTATACACACGTAACACTTAGATCCCCGCCGTCAATGTTCGTTAGTATATCTGTTACTAAATTATACTCAGATCTCTTGAAATTTGTAGACATGTATAATACTTAAACCCCCTAACATTTGAAATATTACATAGACCCCCTAAGGTTTATATACGCGTAACACTTAGATCTTTTCATTCAATGTTCGTTAGTATATCTGTTAGTAAATTATACCCAGATCCCCTGAAGTTTGTAGGCGTGTATAATAGTTAGATCTCTCAAATTTAAAATGTTATACTTAGACAAAAAATACTCTAATTAGAGAATGATTATATGACAAACCTTTACGGGTTTGAGTATAATTCTTCTTAAATTTTATCAAATCAACACTAAATTAATATTTAATTTTATCAAATTAACAACAAATTAATATTTAAATTTATCAAATTAAAACCAAATTTATTCGATTAATATTAAATTTTATCAAATAATATTTAAATTTTATATATGAAAGTTGATGTGTGAAGAGTGGTCAGGTGACATTGTGGAGGACAGATGATAGCATAGAAGTTAAAAATGGACGAGATTTTGACATTGACTTTATCGATTGTAATATTTATTATAAAAAAATATTTTTAATTATAAAAATTATATAAACTTGATTATGTAACCAAATGAGTGATAATATAATGACTAATCTTATAACAAATTTATCATTCAACGCTTTAAAATGATAAAAATTCATTGACGTAATAGAATGATAGAAATCACGTTTGCTGACAGGTTAAGACATATATAATGAGGAAAGGATTGAGGACATTTTAGTCTATTTACATAACAAAGGATAATTTTGGCATTTTTACAAAATATTTAGTCAAATTATTATTTTATCTACTGGCATAAGCAAAAGTTACCGTTAATGAGGTGTCATTGATTTGAAATTATAAAATAGAAAGAGATACAATGAAGTTTTAGAATCGGGAGGGAGTGTCATTGAATTTAGACCTAACTACAAGGTGTGGATGAAATTTTTCCTAATGTTTATGGATATTCTATGATATATATAACGTCGATCTAGATGATAAGAGTTTGAAAATGAATTGCAACCTAAAATAATGTTCCAGCTAAGTCAACATCTATTGTACCGCGTAACTGTACTCGTATAACATATTAAAGGAACCAATGTCAAGTAACATTAATATGGCATTAGAGAGTGTGTTGGTTGAGTTATTTGATATTGAAGGTTGTGCAGAGAAGATAATATTTTTTAGATATTTTTTTTTAAAATAAATTTTATACAATTGGTTCAAAATAGATGAAAATTAGATCAATCTTGACCGTTGTGCTTTTATAAGTCATAAATTCCCTTTCTAGATTGATTGTTCATAGAAACTAAACTATACACTTTATTGTAAAAGTGCATAAAAGCTTGCTGCTTGAAGACCTGTGGTCCACATCTTGGGAGACCCCAACTGTTTCTGTTCTCACTTCCTCCACTGTTTTCAATTTCTTTCGGGGAATTTTGACATTCGAAATAAAATAAGCATATTTTTCTTCTCATTTCACTTTGTTCGAAATAATTTTGAAGTGATAATTGCCACCGTGTTTTATTGTTTTTCTCAATTTATGAACTGTAGATTGTTGAAACGGAACCGACATGATTGTGTGGGCATTCTTATTTTCTGTGTTATCCTTGGACGGTTCTAGCCCACTTCAAAGACAACGTTTCATATGTTTTAGTTTGTCCCATCATTTGTCTATAATATATTTTATTCCTAATTCCTTATACCCAAAAGGATGTAGTTGGTTAACAACAAGGTCATCGTTTCATATATAGTATTATGGACTATGCTCGGCCTTGACTGTTGTATTTTGGTAAGTTTTTGGTTTTAAGATAAGCTTGCGCTAGGATTCTGTAGGTTTTCTTATTGGAACACACAGGCACACTCCTTGTTTCTGGGGGCATTGATTCGAGTACGATCCGTGTGTTGTTCTTCTTCACGATGACACATCAATTGACTAATGTAGGATTCATGTGTTTCCTTTTTCCTTCCCCTCGATTGTTTCCTATCACTATTAGTTACTTATAAATTATGATCTAAAGCACCCTTTTCCATTCATAGAGAAATCCAATCGTCAAAATCCCATAGTGGAAGAAATATAATGATGTGGATTAGTCTCGTTGTTTCTAATATTGCTGCAACTATAATAATAAATTCGACTTGATAACTGTCAATCATGCTTAAGCCTTGTTATAGTATTGTTATGCTTTCCTTTTTTATCAGTGTCATTGTTGTTCTTACTCCTACTTCGCAATTCTCCAGTCTACCGTTACATATTTCATGTGGACTAAATTACATCTGTCTGTGCAATTTTTTTAGGCCCCCTAATTGTTATTTTGTTTTGTAGTAGTTTGTTATTGGAATTTAATCAATTTATGGAAGTTGTCAATAAAATACAACTTGGCTGTATTAGGTTGCAGTCTCTTTGAATAGGGTGTTTGATCTTTGTGCTTCTTTTCTGATTCAGGGAGTCCATGGAATCCCTCCAATTCCCAGCGGTTACAATCCCGCAACTTGGATGCTTGAGATCAGTACACCTGCTGCTGAGGAGAGAATTGGTCAAGACTTTGCAGAGATATACAGAAACTCTGAGCAATACAGGTGATCTTTATTGATGCTGTGTTACTACCAGAAACAAGATGTTCAATCTTGTTCATTTATTATTTCTATATTTATACATATTATTTATTTTACACCAATCTAGGGAGGTTGAAGCTTCCATTCAGCGTACGAGTATTCCACCCTCTGGTTCAGAGCCTCTAAAATTCGCTGCCACGTATTCTCAAGATGCTTTATCTCAATTTAGAATTTGCCTCTGGAAACAAAATCTTGTATATTGGCGGAGTCCGCCATACAATGCTGTGAGAATGTTCTTTACAACAATGAGTGCATTGATAATTGGCTCTATATTCTGGGACCTGGGTTCAAAAAGGTAAACTTTTTAAATTTTTTCAGTCTTTGAAGTGAAATTTTATAAGGCTATTTTATTTTGTTCACAATTTCTTGTTCTTTTGCATTTTAACTTTGGGTGGTGCTCCTCTGCTTGTTTGAATATGAGGACTGATAAGCGATTAAGCTTTAAGGCCTTTCAATATTAGGGGTGGCTAATATTGACACGAGGAATGAGCTCAACCCAAAAATAAATGAAACTAATGGTTTTGAGTTAACTATATTTGATGTGAGTTTTTAATGTGTCAACCTGTCTGACATCTTTAGTAAACCAGTCAAGCTTAAATTAGGAGGCTTTAGCCATTCAACCCGATGTATAAGTTTTCATATCTTTCTTTCGATTAGATTACAACTGCAGTATTTTTGTGATAATTTTGCACAATTCTTGATAAAACAATGTCATAACCAGATGTCAAAAATAAATTATGCACATTTCTCAGGTTTAAAATCACGTGCTCCAATATAATGATTTAGATGGTCAAGAAATCAAACCTCTTAATTCCTCTTCTTTCTTAGAAAAAATGAGAGGAAAAAATGGCTTTTGTGATAATTTTTAACTGAACACAAACCAGCATGTATTATCAAATGAGTTGCACTGGTTGTTTCATATCACATGCTTCATAATCAGATGGCAAAGGCATTTGAAGTTTCAATTATGATTATACAAGAAGTCAATGTTTGGGTTGGATGCCCATGTATTGCCACAACACCTTACCCAAGAGTGGGCAGTAATAGCAATCACCTTAAAGTATTAGTCATTTGGGATGTGACTTTGAGTCGTATTTGAACCACATGCAGGGGCTGACATCCTCTAGCTTCAGCCGTGACATGGCAATCAGCAGTAAATTGGTTGAATCTCTCTTAGCGTTTGCCTTCTTTGGTGGTCAAGCTGAAGTGTTACCAATGGATATCACCAGAACTTCAAAATCTCTGGCATTGGGAGCACTTTTTTTTTTCCTTTTTTCCCGGGAGGGGGCTGCCCCTATCCCCCTCCATATGCCTCTGCCACTGACCACTGTGCTGCTTGTGCTCTTTCTGTCAGTACTGTGTGACTATGCTATTACTAATTTAATGTTTCTGAAATACTGAGGCAGAACATGGGTCTGTTGTGAGAAAAGATATGATGTCCTGGAAGTGTTGGAGGTTGCGACATAAATAAGATAAGTCACATCTGAATCCTATTAGTTGGGGTTAGAGGTTTTGTTGAGTTGGTTATATACCCAGGTGTCAGCTTCTGCAAATTTGACTTTGCATATGTAACTCCATAATGTTGGTTTTGTGCTCTCTTTGTTTGGATATGATATTGATGCAAACACATATTAGTTTGGTATGGCTATTTATGGTATTTACCGTTCTTTATGACTTAAAGGAGTTGCCACAAGATTATTTATGCACATTTTTCATCAGTATCATCTTTTGCTACGACAGTGTTCGGAGATGAATTAGGCATGTCATTCAGTGCACTTTATATGGTTCTGCAGGGACTCAACTCAAAATTTGTTCGTTGTTATGGGGGCTTTATATTCTGCTGTCATGTTTCTTGGGGTCAATAATTCTTCGTCAGTACAGCCTGTAATTTCAATTGAGAGAACAGTTTTCTACAGAGAGAGAGCAGCTGGAATGTACTCTCCATTCCCTTATGCAGCAGCACAGGTAAGTGATTTGAGCATGAGGCTCTATTTAAACTTCAGATGGAGTTAAAAATTCTTGTAAGGAAATTTGTGCAACCTGTTGGTACAGGTTGCATATCATTGGTAAGCAACATTGTCAAAGAATCATGCTCTTTGAGCTGAAGAATCATGTCATGCAAGCATCTGGGATATTGGCATCCCAAAAATGAAATGAAATAACCCTGTTTCCACTATGCTGTTGGCGGTTAAGGGCATTACCTTGTGGGTTACCATTAGGAGCTTAAACACCATGTTCAGGTGCTACCACTTATTCCCCCCTCCCCCCCCCCCAAAAAAAAAAATTATAATTAAAAAAAAAAGGTGCTACCACATAAACCATGTTTGAGTTCTCCTAATATCATGTCCAGGATTATATTCCCTAAAAACATATCAAGCCCTAGTAAAAGTAGAAAATTTTGGCTCTTGGTGATGTTGGAATTTGGCAATGACTTCCTTGATTTTTTGTTTTACCAACAGGGCCTTGTGGAGATCCCATACATTGTAGTGCAGACAATAGTATATGGTGTCATTACATACTTCATGATTAACTTCGAAAGGACTGTTGGTATGATTCTAAGTCCTCTCTAGCTGCATTAATATTTATGCAACCTTTGTGTTTTGTAGTAAAATAAGATCAATAAGGAAGGTGCATTTCTTTTATCAATGAAAAATATTGAGTAGAAGTTTTGCTGAGATTCAAGTTCATATTATCAGGCTCATAAATCTTCACCTAACATCAACCTATAGTTTTTGATATTATATTTCTATAGTAAAGGGTCGAAACGTTCGAAACGTTTCCGTTTTCAAGGTGATCGAAACAAAACAGTGATGAAATCGAAATTTTGATATTTCGAGGTATTCCATAATGTTTTTAATGTATTATAATATTTTAATGCATTTGTACAATCGTTTTAGAATGTTTCAAGGTATTTAAAGATATTTTGATATATTTTCATTAATGTTTTAAAAAAATAATTCTTAAATTTTTTATTTTTTTCATTATGTTTCCGAAATGAGTCGAAACGTTTTCGTTTCTTGTTGGAGATATAGCAGCAGCCTAGTTTATTAGGGCTTACTAAGTTTTCTCTTTTTACCTTTTTATCCTTATTGTAACTTTCATTGACTATATATATACGGGGCTCTACACTTAGTTTGTATCCCTTTTCACTCATATCTATTTTAAGTTGGTATCAGAGCAAAACAGAAACGCTAACCTTAACCCTAATCCTAACCTCCACCATTGACTCCACCATACTCAGCAACCTCCACTCCACCGTCCTCGGTAGCCAACCATCTAGCGACATCAACGAGCAAACCAAACCAACAAACCAGCTAAAAATTTAGACCACCCAACTGCCAAAGCCAACAACACTCCCACTGCCAAAAATTCACTCCACCATCCTCGGCAAACAACCTGCCCAGCGAAACTACCCAATTGCTCAACAATTCAGACCACCTAGGCAGCACCAAACCACACCAAACTGCTCAACAATTCAGACCATAGCCAACAAACACCAAGAAAACACTTACCACCAAAACATCCCAACAACGAAAACATACCCACCAACTACCTTCCAGTAAACAAACACCGAACATTATTTGTTGTTCCAAAACCCAAGCAAAATCAACACAAAACAATACAGACTGCCATCACCGTCTTAATAAACCAAAGCCCAAAGCCCAAACGAGTCTAAAACCCAATTAGCTGCAGTACCCAACCAGCCCAAACGAACCTAAACAGCCCAACCAGCCCAGTACCCATTTCAGCCTAGTACCCAACCAGCCCATTGCCGGATCGCGCTCTTTCTCGTAGTTTCGTGTTTTACCTTTGTGCGCCGCGTTATTTGTCGTAGTGTTGCCCGCCACTACTCTCTTTTTTCACCCTTTTAAGAGGGGTTAAATCCTCTTCTCCGTTGATATGCTCTTGATGTAGTAGATCATTTATTTATATTTATTAGATTTTTTGGCATCGTGACCTGATTAATTGGGAGCTTTTTGGACCTTCTTTATCTGTTGCTACTGTTCGACTGGAGGTATATTATTCTCCCTTATTTTATCTCTCTATTTATCTTAGAGTTATTTTTATGTCACGAGTGCCCTAGTATTATTGATGATATGACTACTATTGAGGGACTTGAGACCCTTACCGTTGAGACATTTGTTAGTACTTCCACCAGGTATAAGGGTTGACAGCGCTCGGCCCAGCACCGTCAGGGTACCCTACATCAGCGTAGATATGGGGATTCTCGTTAATGTGATTATTGTCACCGACTAGGACATCTTAAGGCTACTTGTTGGAAGCTCCATCCGGAGCTTAAGCCGTCTTCTGGTAGCTGTACTGCTGTCATTGGTAAGGCACCACCACTTATAGTCATTGCTCCTGCTACTACTGCTACTGCTCCTCCTTGGAAGAGTGATATGGATGTTATTACTTCTCGTTTGGATATACTTATGTCAGTCTTGACTTCTCAAGGTCCGACTACTACTGCTGTGACGACTACAGGTATATCTCGTGCCTTTCATACTTGCGCCAGTCCGTCCCCCCTTTGGATGCTGGACTCGGGTGCTAATGGTCATATGACAGGTGAGACCCATCATTTCACCTCTTTTGACGAGAAGTTACATACTCAAGTTCAGTTAGCAGATGGTACACATGCCCCTATTGTTAGTAGGGGTACAGTCCGTTTCTCAGATGGTTTTATATTACGTTCGGTGTTTCATGCGCCAAAGTTGGCCATGAATCTATTATCTGTACATCAGTTAGCTAGAGATTTTCACTGTGTGGTTGTGTTCTTATCTGATTCGTGTTATTTGCAGGACCTGAATATTAGGAGGATTATTATCAGGGGACATGAGAGAGGTGAACTGTATTATTTAGGCGATCTACCTCCGGTTTCACCAGTTTCTCCACCTCCACCTCCATCACCTACTTTGTCTTTATCTGTTCTTAGCTTGTATACTAGTATTTTACCTAGTACTTGTCGTTAAAATTTTTCGTCACAAACTGTTCAGTTGTAGCATGACCGTTTTGGACATACAAATTTTAAATATTTATGTATGTTATTTCCTGCTTTGAGCAAAGCTTGTGTTAGTGGTAAACTTGACTGTGTTATATGTTCCCTATCAAAACATAGTAGGATCAGTTATATTCTTTGCATGCACCAGTCACCCAAGCCATTTGACCTAATACACTCTGATATTTGGAGACCCTCTCCTGTTACTGCTCTATCAGGTGCCCGATACTATTTGACATTTATAAATGATCATACCCGTTGTACTTAGGTCTATCTTTTGCATAGGAATTCCGATGTACTCCCTATAATCACGCAATTTTTGCAGATAATTAAGACACAATTCGATGTCATTGTTCGTGCTCTTTGTTCAGATAATGCCAAGGAATATGTGTCTGATGCATTAGTGTCTCACCTTTCTTCTCAAGGTATTTTTCAGCAACTCACTTGTCCATATACTCCTGAGCAAAATGGCGTTGCTGAAAGGAAAAATAGAAGTCTAATAGGGATGGTATGTTGTATGCTTAGAGGCATGAGGGTGCCAAAATCTTATTGACATTTTGCTGTTTTGACTTCTACCTTTCTGTGCAATTGTACGTTGAGTCGAGTTCTTCAGCATAGGGCTCCCTTACAAGTTTTATTTCCTGAGCAAATACTTTTTTTGGTCTCTCCTCGTGTTTTTGGATGCACATGTTTTGTTCAAGATCGGTCTCCTACTCGTCATAAGCTTGATGATAAAACAATTCGTTGTGTCTTTGTGGGCTATTACAATCAGTCTAAGGGGTATCGGTGTTATAATCCTGTTAGGCGCCGTATGTATCACAGTCTAGATGTTACCTTTCTTGAGTATATTCCTTATTTTTCTTCCAGTCCTGTGTCTGCACCTCCAGTTGATCATATTTCCTTTGATTTTCCATTACCCCCGGAGCCAAAGCCATTGGTCACTATCACTATAGAGTCATTGGTCTCTCTTCCTCCAGAGCCACTTATCGCTGATATAGAGTCACCAGACTCTCTTCCTTTGCAGGTTTATGTTCGTCACCCTTGCTCTCATCCCCCTGTTGATGTCCCCTCTACCTTAGGCAATGCAGGTAATACTCCTCAATTTGCTGAGCATATTGATGCCCCTGTTATTAGTACTGATGAGATTGTAGGTACTGAGCCAGTTGTTTTACTTGATGAGTCATTGTCAGTGGAGGATGATGATTTAGAGCGTCGTTATCCGCGGCGTGATCGCCGTCCAGTTGATCGTTATGGTTGGACCGCCAGGATTTTATATCTGATCTCTGCTTATGTTTCTTATAGTGATTTGTCTCATACATTTCGAGCTTATAATATAGCTTTATCAGATACGCCGGTTTCTCGCTCTGTTTCGGAGGCTATGCGGGAGCCCCAGTGGGTTCTTGCCATGCAGACGGAGATGGACGCTTTTCAGCATAATCATATATGGGATTTTGTCTCTTTACCTTCAGGGGTGAAGCCTGTTAGCTGTCGCTGGATTTACACCCTGAAGTTTCTTGCGAATGGTACTATTGATCGTCACAAGACTAGGCTTGTGGCGAAGGGCTTTACTCAGGTACCAGGTCGTGATTTTGGTGTTACATTTGTCCCTGTGGCAAAATTGACTACTGTTTGTTTGGTTATTTCTCTGGCTGTAGAGTACTCTTGGCCTCTTCATCAGTTAGATGTGAAGAATGAGTTTTTTCACGGTGATCTGGACAAGATTATTTATATGGATGCACCACCAGGATTTCGTGGTGAGGGGGAGTATACTGGAAAGGTATGTCAACTGCGTAAGTCTCTTTATGGACTGAAACAGTCACCACGAGCCTGGTTCTCTCGCTTTAGTGATGTAGTCGTACGTTTGGGGTTCATTAGATGTCCTTCTGATCATTCCTGCTTTATTTGGCAAAATACTTCTGGACAGTGTGTTATCCTTTTGGTATATGTTGATGATATTATTATTACTGAGGATGATATTTTTGGGATTGCACAGGTCAAGGTAGACATTGGGAAGGTCTTTGATTTGAAGGACCTTGGATTTCTGTGATACTTTCTTAGGATTGAGGTTACCCGTAGTAGCACGGGTGTTGTTCTTTCTTAGAGAAAGTATGTTTTGGATCTTCTTTCAGATACTGGGATGCTGGGGTGCAAACCGGCATCATCACCCATGATTCCAAACCTGAAGCTGACCGCTGAAGGTGACGAGTTGAGAGATCCGACTGTCTATCAGAGGTTGGTAGGTAGACTTATCTACCTAGCTAACACTAGGCCAGACATTTCATTTGTTGTTAGTCGAGTTAGTTAGTTCATGCACAAGCTGTGTCAGCCTCATCTTGATGTAGTTTATCATATTCTTCGATACCTTAAGTCTTGTCCTGAACTTGGGTTGTTCTATGCATCAGGATCTCAGACTGGTTCTCTAGTATGTTATTCAGATTCAGATTATGGGGGAGCATGTGATGGTCGATCTATTACGGGTTTCTGTGCTTTTTGAGGGACTCATCTTATCTCTTGGAAGAGCAAGAAGCAGTCAGTTGTCTCTCGCTTGTCAGTAGAGGCAGAGTATCGGGCACCGGGACTTGGCACATGTGAGATTATCTGGCTACGATCGAATCTTGGCGAGTTGGGATTTTCAGTAACTTCTTCATCTACATTATATTGTGATAATTGATCTGCTATTCAGCTCGCTTCTGATTCTGTATTACACGAGAGGACAAAGCATATAGAGATCGATGTTCACTTTCTTCGAGAGAAGGTTAACGGTGGTATTGTCACTCCATCGTTCATGGGAATCAGTGATCAGGTTGCGGATGTTTTCACCAAACCTGTCACTCTATCTATTCTTCGAGACTCCGTTGTCAAGCTTGACTTAGTTGACATTTTCGCGCCTAGCTTGAGGGGAAGTGTTGGAGATATAGCAACAGCCTAATTTATTAGGGCTTATTAAGTTTTCTCTTTTTACCTTTTTATCCTTATTGTAACTTTCATTGACTATATATATACGGCGCTCTACACTTAGTTTGTATCCCTTGTCACTCATATCTATCTCAAGTTTTCTTAGGTGACCGAAACAATACATCAAAATAACATTTTGATCCTTGCCTAAGCATACATTGAAATTCTAATGAAAATTTGGCTGGAAACTATTCCTCAGTATGATTAGTAACTTCCTTTTTACGCTGGTTCTCTGGAAATCATACTTTCTAGGTTTGGTTGATCTTGTGAGTTATGAGTCTTATCACTATCATTACTTATGAAGGAAAAGTATTTTTCTTAGTGCCTTCTCATTGTACTTTTTGGGTCTTTATGGTTTCGACTTTTGTGTATAAAGTAGAATACAATCGTTTTGACTATGTACCTTGATAAAACTTCTCCGTTGAACAAGCAAGACCCCAAGAGTTGGTTTAATTATGAGATTTTGGAATTCCTTGGACAAAATGTTTTTTACTGGACAACAATTTTTTTTATGGCGTCCTGGATTACATGATTAAGAATGTTTAAGACAGTTCACTTCAATTTCAGGAATACATCATCTTTAATGCACCCATTCACTTTTTTGCTCTTATTTTCCAGCATTGATTTTGAAATTGACTTTATGGCTCCATGACTAAAATAAAAAGAGATCTGATTGTTGTTATTGAACCGTACAATATCCATGGTTAGGCAGTCTTGCTATTGTCTCAGGTTTGCTCAATATTCAGGTCTGGGTTTTAATTTCTTGGCTATATGCTCTCTATTTTCTATATTGAACATTACTAATTTTTCTTAGTTCAGTTTTTCTGCTGGCGGGCTTGCACTTTGTCATTACTTTCAGTGTTGATTTTTCTTTATCTTTTCTCATGATGTAGTCATTTCCCAGTATATGAACACTTTGGCCCCACCACCCAAACTTAAATACCCCCCCCCCAAAAAAAAAAAAAAAACAAAAATAATAAAAAAAAATGATTACAAAAAACGATGTCTGATTGTATTGATGTGCCATGTGAATGAATTTGATCAGAACGCAATTTTTTAAGTTATGGTTCACATGTTGCAGGGAAATTTTTACTCTACCTTTTGTTCATGTTCCTCACCTTCACCTACTTCACCTTTTACGGCATGATGGCTGTTGGTCTCACACCATCTCAGCACTTGGCTGCGGTAGTTTCGTCTGCATTTTACTCATTATGGAATCTCCTCTCAGGCTTCCTTGTTCCAAAACCAGTAAGTACTGTATATTCTTACTCAAAATTTCATTGCTTTGAATCCAGATTGCTACAATTATTTTTTTTTTCCGCCATCACATCTGATTACAACATACAGTGCGGTACACATTTAATCTATCTTGTCTCATCTTGCATTTCACACACAACAAAACAGATAAAGAACATTGAGGAAATTATCAGGCAAGAAAAGGCAGTGGGTGAGGAGCCAAGCGTTGTGTTTTTTTTTTTTCTTCTTTTGGAGGGGCTCACTTGTCCCAAATCTCTCTTGACCAGACATCTCTCATGCTTTCATTGGAATCATTTTTTTCTTGTTTTGAATGATTAGGTTTCAGATATGGTCTATCGAAACAATGACAGATTTGAGGCAACAGTTGTGGGCAACACCCCCCACCCCCCAACAAAAAAAAAACCCACCAAAAACGACTTGAAATAAAATGAGGAATTATTCCTTTATCTGTCATTGCTTTGATAATTGCTTCAGAGGTGGTTACTTTTCGGAGAAAGATAGCCATGGCATATAGTGATCATAATTCAACAATAGTGATCGTGTTGAGATTCCTAGACCGCGTGACAAGCCTTTATGGGTAACAATGCATAAGATGGCATATCATAGTGCCATTACATTGCAAGATTTTTCCATCCTTCTGAATTGCACAGCTCATTGCATGTGCCTTCCATTAAATATTAGCAATGTAGGTGATATCCTACAAAGTGATGAAACATTTGCTTCCAACCAGACCAGTCAAATTGCTTATTGAATTGTCACTAAATGGCTGGTAGCATACCTTAGCTGCAGACTTCTGGTAGATTAGTAATTGAGCCCATGCTCTTGAGCCCACTTCTTCACTATCGAAAGAACGATTCTTCTTCTTTTTCTTCTTCTCTCTGTTTTGTGCTTATATACCCAATATCTAAACTTGTTGAATTCATGTGTTTCACTTGCCTTTATACAGTATATCCCGGGATGGTGGCTATGGTTCTACTACATCTGCCCGATGGCATGGACCCTGAGGGGCATCATTAGCTCCCAACTTGGTGATGTAGAAACCAAAATTGTTGGACCTGGGTTTGAGGGCTCTGTGAAAGAATATTTGGAGGTCAGTCTTGGCTATGGCCCTGGGATGATTGGCGTTTCGGCTGCAGCTCTTCTTGGATTCAGTGTTCTCTTCTTTATCGTCTTTGCTATCTCTGTCAAAATCCTCAACTTCCAGAAAAGATAGAGATAAATGGAGGCTTAACTGATCCCGGTGGCATTATCCCAACATTGCATCTGTTGGGGACCCCCTTTGGAATTATTGACTCCAACGATCTCAAGGCCTAATCTTCACATCAAAATTTTGGCACGAACAATTTTGCAGTGAGCATTGTTTTAAGGAGCAAATATCTAAAGATATTTACTAAATCAACAGAGTGCTAATAAATTTGCTACCAATCTTTTTATTGTCCACTGGTGATGTCTCCTAACCATTTGCTAAGGATCGTCCGGATAAAAGGTTTAGTTGTACGTGACAAAATAACATGAACCTAATGGCCTAATCTATGTCGATAATTTATCTATTTTTAAAAAAAAAAAATAAAAAAAATTAGATTCACAAATGATTGACTTGAGCCTTGGTTAACCTTGAACAGAATGTCGATCTTATAAACCAAATTTCAGCATCAACATAAAGAATTGCTAGGTGCGTAGAACATCCAGGTGGTTCCCTGCCTGCACAATGCCTAGGAGGTTGCTGTATATTACGTCATGTCGACTACAACTTCTAAGAGACAAGATCAGTAAAACAAGGGGCACCAAGTTAGAGAACTCGGCGTTCCCAATATTTAATGAGCCAATGTTACCTTTATGTTCATGAAACCAGGAACAAGAAGAAGCAGTCAAAAAACCATATTAAAAGAAATTCAATGCATCATATCAATTTTTTGTGTTTCTTGGGATCTGCTGGTAATTTATTTTCTCTAACAATAGTGTTGCTTTTCCTAATTTTTCAATCTATTACAGTAACTTAATCACAACAATTCGTCAATTAGTGAAAAACCAATAAAATTCATTAATCTAACAATCCAAAGAATTATCTTTCTTTTTTTTTCTTGGTAAAGGTGGCATTGTTGTATATGTAACATGCACTTTGTGGTGCACCACATTCTCTCTTCCTAGCGAAGTCAAAAGATTCTTCACGGAATTAGCTTCTGGTCTCTCATCACATCAATCCAATACAGCATTGAATCCAAGGCCTGATAAGTCGTCGTGAATCCGAGCCGATCAGCTTTCTCTCTCGTCCCCAACATCTTCACAGGGCATCGAAACAACATATCTAGAAATCCCCAGTTTGCCAAATCCTCCATCTCTGTTTCAACCAGTCCCTCCTTGGCCACTATCTCTTTCCAAACTCCTCCCTTGTCCGCCATTGTCGGCGAAAACATAAACTCCGGCGACAACATGTCACCGGGAACCACCGCCCCAAACTTCAACCCTATAGCTTCCCATACCTCCCTCCACGTAAAGTTGAACCCATTGATCGAATTAAAGGCTTGGCCATCAGTGGAATATATTGCCTCATTGGTTGCAGCCCAGATGTGCTGTTCAGCGACAAGCCGGCCATCGGAGCCGTCGATGTAAATCTCCTCCCAGCACTCCTTTGTCCCACCAAATACAAATGGGAGATTTAGATGCTTACAGATCGTTCCATAAACACACAAACTACCCATGAAATTGAACAGTGTCCTCTGAGAACTACCCATTATCAAACCCGGTCTCAGGACAGACCAGGAAACTTTAACTGGTAGTCTCTCCTTGAGCAGGTCCTCGAGGGTATAGTAAAAGTTATGTCCTTTACTCACCCTCGGAGTCTCCTCGTCGTAGCAGCAAACTTTATTATCAAAAGGGCCTTGGAGCGATATATAATGCTTAGCGCCCGTTTGGAGAGAGACATGTTTCAATGACTTAGCTCTTGGGAGGAGAGCATTCAAGGCATTGGACAACATGAACTTGTTTTGCTCACAACAATCTGGACTATCCAGGGGGAATTGGGTTGCCCAAGTGACCCAGAAAATATGGGTGGCGTCTTGTAGAGAAGAAGAGAGCTTCTGTGTGGTTTCTGAGGGGTTCAGAAGATCACATGAGATGAAATGGTAATTGGAATTGTGGATGTGTATTAAATCTGGTTTGCGAGCTATGCCGTAAACCTTCCAGCTGCTACATTGTGAGAGGAGCTTTTTGACAAGCTCTTTCCCAACAAGCCCAGTAACTCCAAAGATGACTGCAACATTTTCAGAGGGACCAGCTTCTCCATTTGAGATTTCCAAGGCCATGTTTGGATTGTTTGGCTTATCCAATAATCAGATTATTTATAGGGACGATTCTAGATGATTTAAAGCTTGGTTCCCACGTCAATAATTCACTTATTACCAATTTTTTAAATTTATGTTGAAGCCTTTTAATGTTTGTACTGTAGTCTGGTCTATGAATGAATTAAGCTAAAACCCACTTGGTGATTGGGGAGTCATTGCGGCGTCAGAGCCTTACTGTATGGCCTGCAGGCCGGCAGATTGTGAAACCAGCCGTTTCATTGTTGGCATCTCAGTTGGAAAATTCATAAAAGGTCACATACTTCAAGTCTTCAATAATTTCGCAACTGAGGTGAAACTCCCATACTATTTAGGGTAAATTAAATAATGATATCCTTGTGGTTTTTGATTATTTCAAAGTATACTTCCCATGATTTATGAGATTCTAGTTGGTTTGATTTTGTACTTCACGTAACAACCCTTTATTACAAATTATTATTAATAGACACCCTCCAATTTTTTGAAAAAAAATTATCCATTTTATCCCCAGACCAAGAAAGGCATGAGAGTCTTTAAAAATAGTTTAGGCTGAGTTAAGCAAAGACTAGTTATCTAAAAAGATTCTTTTTTACACTTTTCACATATTTGTCTCCATTCAATCAAAGACGTTTATACCATAGTGAATTAGGTTCAACAAAAACGAAACTAAGGATTATGTACCTCATAAAAGGATGGGGAAGAAAGAGGTGGTGAAGGTCCTTGTCCGAAGGGGAGGAGAAGGGAGAAGAGATGAATCTAAGGTCTTGAGGTTTCAATACAATTTGTGGTACGGAGAGTTTGGTGGCGTGTGCTTTAGGAGGTGGTGATCACCACAAGGGAGAGGAAAAGAAAACAAATGAATCTAAGGCTTATGGTAACTGGTCCGGGTGTGTCTTTGCTTCAATTTGGATACAAAATTGTTTGAGATAAAATGATCAAAACTTTAAACCGTTAACAACCATCAATCAACAATATGTGATGAGACGATTTTTCTACTTCCGAGTTTACTTCTGTCAAAAAAATCATTCTAATAATATCCAAAATTATTAGGGTATTTTGTGATATTACAATATATATATTCCCAATTATTGAAGGTCTTCCACCTTTGTCGGTGCATCATAAGATCGGACAGCCTGACAATTACAATTCTCATTTGACTAGTTACAATACTTCCCTCCGAAAGAATGGGGCTACCAAAAGGTTGCTTAGGGAGCCCATCATCCATGTCGCAATAAAATAGGGCATGCCACTAATGTAATGACGTACACACGTGTTTAGGTGCCTTATATTTGAATCCCCTGATAGTTGCTTTCTTTTTAAGAACAAAAGAGAAATATAAGTTGTGTGGTGTCAGTGTCAAACATTAAAAAAAAAACACACACACATCCATTACAAAAAAAGTTTGTCTATAAAGAGATATAGAAGAGACAAGTAATAGATAATTTTATATCTTGTCATTTTGGAGAGATCAAATCGATTGGTTTGTGTTTGAAAAAGTTTGGAGCCAATTGACATTAATTTCAAGTGTATGTTGCTTTTGGCGTTGACGGTTTTTTAACATGGTATCAGAGTAGTAGATTATGTGTTCAAATCTCACCATCACCCTAGTGATTAAAAAGATTTTTATGTGTTAAACCCAAAAAATTAGCCCATACAAGAGGAAAATGTGTTGAAATATAAATATTTAAATTACATCCTCTCTAACTTCAAAAAAAACTTAAATTTTTGAAATAAACAATTATTTAACTGAGGTCACATGTGATTGCGAGTTGAACAATAGAAGAGTAAAAAGGTTTGTTATGAACAAAATTAAATTTTTACATAAAGTTTTAAGCCTATAATATTTGAATTCTCCATATTTTTGACAACAGTTAACTAGTTAAGCAGTTTCAAAAAATAATTAAAAAAAAAGTTGCTCAAGGATTGGTGCTGGTAGAAAAATCAAACTAAGAATATAAATTACTTGAGGGGTACGTAGCACGTTTATACATCTAACAAAATTATTTTAAATATGTGTTGTATGGATGCAACTTTAACACGTAGTACAAAGGACTATAAGGTTTTTTTCCCTACAAATAGAGGGTATCACTATGATATCAAAAAATAAAAAAATAAAATATTAAAATAAAAAAAGGCACATATATAATATTTTTATTGAAATAAAAAAACTAATAGAACTAAAAAATAAGTTTAGCATCATAATTGAGCCCCTATTCCGATATATATTAAGAGTAATTCTTTATGTATCAACTCAATTGTAATCGTTGGATCAGTAATGAGACTCACTAATTTAATAAATACTAATAATTTTGTACAAGTTTTAGTGCAAATATTTCAAAAATCATAGATCTCGGAACTTCCCTCTATTAATTATTTCATCCGTTCTTAAATATATGTTGTTTAAGGTTTTTGCACAGGAATTAAGGAAGCTATTAAGGAGCTCTAATATAAGTAAAATATAATTGCACAAGACTAAAATACCCTTATTCAATACGTATTGGGAAGGAAAAGAATATGAAAGACACTTAATCTTCACCTAATCTAATGCATTGAAAAGTTAAGGTTAAATTTGGAAGAAAAAATATTAATTATGTTTTGGTTTCATAAAACGACAGATATTGTGAAACAAAAAAAATAAGGTAAAACGACAGATATTTAAGAACGGAGGGAGTAACTAACTAAACGGAGACTCCCCATAATATTTTAATAATGATATAATAACCCCATAAAGTTTATGTCACACATCCTCGGTTTGCACATGGCTACGCATGTGCCTCCCGTTCTTGCATTATTTATAAACCACAAGTATATAATGTCCAATGTTATTGAAGAGCTATTATTTATTATTCATCGTGGTTATCATGTCTCTTATTATATAAACACTTGGAAAAACCCTATGGGATAGTTGAGTGGAGATAGAAATGAACCGTAAATTCAAATGTTTTGAATTTGAAAACAGATTATCATATGCTAAATAATCATTTAACATGAATATTATTTCACAATCACATAACAAATTAATAATTTTATTAAACTTGATATGATATTAAAACATAAAATAATACTAATGTATAATTAATATGCTTTAAACCACTAACATTAACTTACACCAAGTTAATTATAATAGGATTTTATGAATTATAATGTTAATTATAAATCCTATATTTGACCACTAGTTACACTAGTCAAGGCCTGTCATATGATATACAACCTTCGCCTACCCATTTCATATGTCATATTTTAAGTTGAAACTATATCTAAATAGAGAAAATCCTATCTCTCGTAGCGTGAGCCCACGTACTAAAACTCTAAGGAAGTCTGAATTTAGCTTCCCAAACTTTAGGTCTAGATTATCATATTTGATATTTTTTTGGAAAAAAGTACAATATTTAGTGTGGTTACATAGCTCTCGTTGAATAAAGCAACTTTAATTTTTGGTCCGAAGCAATTAAACGGCTTAATTTTCATAGATATGAGGAAAAAGATTTGAAATCTAACCTTTTTTTTTCTCTCTTTTCTATCTCTTTGTCTGGCTGAACGTTGGAGTGCAGATAAGTGGAAGACTTTTGACTTTTGTCTTCCACTTTATATAATTTTTAATATTTGGCCCAGTGCGTGCCTCACGTTCAATTTTAACAGGTCAAATTTTATTCCGAATCAATTAAATTTTATCTCGTGTTAAGTTTAGTATATTTTTATTAAACTAATTTTAAATTATTTTTTGGGTCTCACAAATAAAAATTGATCGCAATTATTTTAGTCGCGCGACACCCGATTGCTTTGTGACCCGTGAAAAGTCCAACTCTCTCAAAATTTTAAATTTAGTGAGTAGTTAGATTTCGCAAGACGAATCCAATAATGAGGTCTGTTTCGTCATCTGAATTTTATAAAAAATTCACGTTTTTGACATGTGTTTTAATAATTAATTACTATTTTACCTCTTTAATTAAGATTTTTAATAATAATAATTTTTTTTTGAGTTTTCGACCACCACTATCCAAAACCACCAGCCCAGTCCCAGCCCCAGCCCCAGCCCCAGCATTGTTGACTATTTGTGGCCACCGAAGTTTCTGAGTTAAAAGTCCATCAGAGTTGCTGTGTTGAAGACCACCAGGGATCTTGTATTCGTTGAAGACCACCGGATTCCCCAATATATGTGACTGACTCTTTCTCTCTCTCTCTCTCTCTCTCTCTCTCTCTCACACACACACACACACAAAATATGCTCTCAATGTTTGATCCATCTGCTGTATGCTGTGATTATTGTTGTAGTTATGTATGTTTTTGTGCATTGTTATTTTTTGTTTGATTAATGATTTGTGCACTGCTATGTTGTTTTTTTTTATTAATGTTTTGGGCAAAGTTATTTTATGTTTTGATTCATCTATATGCAATGTTAATTTGTGGTATGATTCATGGTTTGTGGATTGTTATTTTGTGGTTTGATTGAACAATAAGGACTGTTAATTTGTTGATTCATTGATATGCTTGTGTTTGTGGTTTCATTCATCGATATACATTGGTGTTTGTGGTTTTATTCATCAATTTGTGGTTTGACAACGTAGGACTTTAGCTGGTTCAACAATATGCATATTGATTCATATTATTCCTGCTACTTAACATGTTAAAATGCTAATTGAATAATTGATATTATTCTTGTTCACCGCAATAATTTGCATAGTTAATTTGTCAATCACAGTATTTAATTTGCACTGTTTTGTGTTTACTTAATCATGTACTTATGGAGTTTTTCTTGTTGATGGTATTTAATTGAGAAATCATCTATGCCAATCATGAATTGCTTCTATCTTACTTTTGTTAAGTACTTATTCATTCCCTCCCCATTCAGTCCTTTGTAATTCCACATCTATACGAAAGCTGAATTTTTAATTTAAAAGAATATAATAATAATTTAGCTTAACTTTAACCATCTATTTGTCAATCTCATTCGAAGCATTATATTTATGTCTCCTAGTCATCAAACAACACAATTTTTCTCAATAATTTACATTCTTCACTAATGCGATAGAGTTAGAAAGTGTTGTCATCCTTGATTTGGAAAGTATTGATAATTGTGATAAAGTTGTAAATGTAAGTCAATTACTATGTTGTTAGCCTAAAAATCGGCAACATTGTTTGCTTTTATGATAACATGTTCGACTTGTTAAAAGCTACACTCTTTTGGGGATCATTTTTTCAAACTTCATGTTACTAGTTGAATCTCCATTTTTCTTAGTTTCCTAGTTGTACTCTTCAAGCTCTAAAGTTTCTGATTTTATCAATTCTTCTATATCGCGTGAATTAAATTCCTTGAGACTTTGCTTTACTATAGATATGTTTTTACTCAAGTATTAACCCTTTCTATCGATTCCCAAGTTCTTGTGAATACAGTACTTATTCCACGATGAAAAATGTTTGAAATTGCACAAAAACAAGTTACTGTTTTATTGTATTGAGGTGAACACATGGAATATGCATCAGAGTTTATCATACGATTATCCTCCTAAATGTGGAATTGTTATAAATAGTGGCACAAAACTATCGGAGTTGTTAAGCAAAATTTACATTGTGCGTGGAGACGGAGACGGAGGACATCAATGCTATCGTAAGCAGTTGTTAGACCAAAGGGTGCCTAACCAACACAACCATGTCTTACACTAAGTTGCTTAGGCGAGAGATAGGTGCCTCGACATTTCTAACTTTTGGATTGACGGGTGAATATTCCATTCTTGAGGGGATACAATTAATGGATGAATCTGGTTATTACTCGTACACTCACCAATATTCTGGCTCCGCTACATATGGTGGGTACTCAACCAATAATGCACTGAGTCAAATCAACATCGTTGAACATAGTTCATTTTATTGGATTATATGCAAATTCTTATATGAACAAAAACTTAAGTTCTGTAATTAGCCCATCAATTCTTATCACCCATTCGATCAAGTTAGACATGTAATTATTGGACCTGCAACTGACTACTCACCTCCAGGTGCTCATATCGAACTTATACTATGATGACGACAGTTATATGATAAACGTTGTGACCTTAAAATATTTTGTCGTTGGCATGAATTTGTGGTACTGAAGACACGTTCAACTGATATTTACAATTCACAGAATTCAAACAATCATGACGATATCATATCAAGGCTCGAACGTGAAAATGATCAAATGCAGTATCAACTTGATCGTTTTCTGCAATCGAGTATGCAAAAACAAAGTCTTTTGATTCTGAATATGCCAAAATTGAAATTTTATAGGATCCTTACCTGTTTCTGATTTTGAACTTTCTGATTTATTTGATTTGGATGAAGATGCGTCAGAGACTTTTATCTCATCAAGTTTATGTGTACTCGGTGATCCTTTATGTTGTTTTAAACATCAACCACATTATTGACGCCCTTTTATCTTATTCATTGCATTGGAAAGTGTTATGAAATAAATGCTATGTATTTTTTTTGTTATAAATGAATTAGATTTTTACATCGTTTTTTCTTTATAAACATTATTGTCGACATTAATCGCAACATCTTATGTTTGAATGTTAAATTAAAATTAATTAAATGTATACGCTTCAATGTTTTAGTGTTGAAATGATCAAAATATATTTATTTTGAATATAATTAAATATTCAATAAATAAAATTAAACATTCAAAAAAATAACAACGTGATGATGAATAAAAAACAAAGGGATATACAAAACGTAGCAAATGACGTTTGTTTGCATAAACAAGTTGGCTCAACCAATGTTTTTAAGTAGGCAGAAGGGGGTCAGAAACGTTGGTTCAACCAACTTTTTAAGAAGATATTTGTCAAACCAACGTTTTATGTGACTTTTTAAAAATAAAAAAAAATTTCAAATATGTTGGTTGGAATAACGATTTTACACAAAAAAAGACAGTGGAACTAACATCTTTTGGTATAAAAAGTCAGTTGAAATAACGTATTTAAAAATACTGTGTTTGAGAAATAGTTTAAAAATAACCCTCTTTTGGGTATAAGTTTGAAAAAAGCCATGCTTTAGGGTAAAAGCTCCATGAAATAATAAGAAGTTGATCAGTTGAGGTAGGCTTTGTTGGCATTTAAACATCAATGCCGACGGTATGTTACAATTGATCGTTTTCTTCGTCTGAAAGCGAGAAAGCCAAACCTATAAACACTGCTAAACAGCCATGTCATCAATTAATTTGGATCTGGTAAAAGCCTTTTTGAATTATCGAAGGCATGTAATTTGCGGTGTATTTGAAGTTTGCATTATAACTATAAATTAAAAGATGTCCAATTGAAGCGGGGTTACTCATATGTCTATCATCTAATGCCCACTACTTGGACCTCGTTTTTCTACGTAACTCATATCGTGAAAATAGTATATATCCTTGATAATATAACTTCCCGTAACATTAAGTGTGTGATAATGATGTTGGACTTTATATCTAATTAATATTAGATTCTATCTCTAATTAGAGACTTAAGATGACTCATATGCCATGTCATCTTTTTAATAAATAAATATTATGTATATTTAATACATTTGTTATGTATTAAGTCAAATTTTTTTAGGTAACTAACGTTAAGGTAACTATCCACTATTCCCATCATCAGATGGAGTGACTATCTTGGAATAGTTCGGAGCAATTATAACTTCTTGAGAGAAGGACATTATTTGCAGTTTCTCTATTGGATAAGGGTTCCTGCCCATATATATTTTCATGTCTGTAATTTTTCATTAAGTCATAAGAGTATTTAGATATCATATACGTAGGTAGGTAGGAAATTCTTAACTCGTATATCTCTATACAATACACATTTGTCAGATTGTTCTTGAGTGTTCTTTTTGAGTATTGAGGTCAAGATTGTGATATGAATTCATGCTTATTCGGGTTGTTGGGTTCGTTGATTATTCTCTCTATAGAAAATTCGATTTTCTTATTCTCGAACTTGAACATCAATGACAGAAAGTAAGTATTCAATTCGACTACGCAAGATAAGAAGATTAAATTCTGCAATAAAATCTATCAAATGAAGCTTGGAAATGAAATGTCCATCGTTAAGTAAAGACTATATAGCCAAGAAATTGTATCACTATGGTATATTTACAAAATGAAGTGATTAATTAAATAAATCAAAACTAATATTTATCGAGTCGGTTTATTTGGAAGTAATTTTTGCTAAAACTATAATATAATAGATTTATTTTATACTCTTTTGACATGTAATTATAGATAATACTTAAAAAATATTCATGTACTTTGAAGTAATATGAATTTTTGTAAATATATTGTATGGTATGTGAATTCGAAAGGAAATATTAAAAATTTAACTCAAAAATTATATATGTTACTTGAACAAAAAATATCTATGAAGTATCATAATATTTAATTATTATAAATATTCGATACGTATTATCGAATATCCAACTAGTATCCTATCCGATAATATATCTGATACGGATATGCCGGTCTCAATGAAGTATTTGTGCTTCATAGGTGGCACACCCTTTTAATAATGAGTCTAGAAGGAAAGGGAGTGTAGTCAAAAACTAATATCAATATACCATATTTCAATGAACAAGTGTTTATTTTGATCAATGAAAATGTACGAGGTTTTATTCATGATTATTATTGCAACAGCAAATGATTTAATGGCATTCTTCTCTGCATCAACTGACAGTGTCCAGAACTCCAGATGCCCTTTGCCACCACTTTTTTCAAAACTGAGAAACAAATTCTTATTAAGGAAAATACAAGAACTATGCACCGAACATTATCTATTCTCTTCAAAGCCACCAAATCGTTTGAGCTTTCTGTCACCAGAAGGCCCAAATATTCCCAGTGCTTTGAAAATGGAAAATCCATTGAATCAACAAATAAATTATTTGTGGAACTTGTTGATGATGCACCAACATAGCCCAGATCTTCAAGGTTGAAGCCGATTAAACGGCCAAAGTTCCAGATGGTGAATGGACTCCTAAGTTGGGGACAGTTGTTTGATCTGCCATGAAAATTAGCTTGTAGACATTACTATGAATATCGTGTCGTAGAGATTAAATTAGGCAGCTAGAAACTTAGGTACATGCACTTACTTGGGGGGAATTTCTGGACAAAAAAGCATGCTGCAATAACAGTGTAGGATAGACTAAGAACCACTCCTTTCATGTAGTGTGAAGTTCCATCCTGCATTATAATCAAGAAATTGCAAATTTTACCAGCTATTGAAAAAAATTATATGCGTGCCTATTGGTGATTGTGTGCAGAGGTTGTCCTATAGATGTATAATAATACCTTCTAAACTAGTATATGAATTTTGTGGGCTCCTTCACCCGTTACCAGTTGTTTTTGAGTTGGACGCTTTAACGTGATCTTAGAACAAGGTTTCAAAAGGTTTTGAGAAAGTCTATGTCAATTAGACAATTGATTTTACATTTGTTTTGTGCCACTAGTGCACCTTCAATTATTCTAAAGCTAACTTTTGAATTTTGCTTATCCATCGAGGTGTGATTGGGTTGCACGTGTGGCAAAGATTACAGCTTAGTCCCATGTGGACATAGTAACACTCCTAAAATAATAAATAGGTTTTGTGGGTTGTTCATTATTGCCAATTGATTTTTGGGTCGAATGGTTTAACAGTGTGGGACTTTGATTACTCTAGTAAACAATCAAAATACGTATAATTATCGTTACAAGGTAAATTCGATACATGACCTGCAAGGTGAAGGCTGTGATGATAACTGCAAACAGAACACAACTAGTTTCAAGGAGACTGAAATTCAAGTCCATAGGGATGCCCATTATCCATGCAACTACCACAGAGAAAGGAATCTGGAACACAGATGAGATTCTAAACATTAGTAAAGCCAGCAATTTGTGTTAATAAACAAGTGAAGTAAAAACAATCCCATATCAGTTGAGGAGAGAAATAAATACGACTTTGTAGACAAAGTTTGTTCCAAACTATTATGCTTGATTAAAATATCTGGGGCGTGGTATGTATTTACTTACATATAAACCCAAAATTCCAAAAAATCCGTGTTAATTTATTTGTTTCTCTTTTTCAAGTCTTACCACAAACATGGATATTTGAGATCCGGATCCTAAAGCAACACCCAAAGAGATATCCTGTTCGATTGCCAAAAAAGCCATTTAATCAAAGTAACAGACAATACTGCTCAGAAAATAGTGTAGTTGGGAACTTGGAAGATATCCTAAAATCATACCAACTTGTTCTTGAAAGCAAATATGATTGCTCCGGCATGTTCTGCTGCATTCCCGACAATGGGTAGCAAAATAATGCTGATGAAGCTTACAGAAATGCCCCAAGAATCTGATGCAGCCTGATTGAGAAGGCACAGTATCTCCGATTAATCGTATTTTCATTTTGTTTTGAGAGCAAGACATTCTAATTCTTTTTTTTTTTGATAGACAAAACTATTTTAAAACTTACACTTAAAAGTGTAAGCAGCAGAGGGCCTTATACACACACACAACCCCAAAGCTATCCAATGTTAGATAGCTCCAACCCCCTGGTGGACAACTAGCACCTATTCTTTTAAAGATAGGTATGTGGGGAAACATATATAGTAAGTTTAATTTACTGATGTACCTCTATTGAAGCCACGATGTACTCAGATAGTATGGCTATGGTGATGGTCATGCCAATCAACCAAATAAATGCACTCCAAAATCCTATCACAGCCTTCTCTTGAGATAGTTCATTGTCACCATCTTCACTTTCCTATCATTTTCATCAAAACGAGTTAGCTCCAAGGGATTGAGTGAAATTCCATCCATATCCCTACTAGTGGTTGATGAGATACATCCCTAAGGGATTGAGTTGGATTATATATGTGATCAAAAATAGTAATATTATGCTTAAAAGATTTTCATCTCAAGTGATGTGGTACAATCTCCACCATTAAATATTAATGTGACCCACTTATTTGATGGTTAAAATTATACCGCATCGCTTGAGATAAAAAACTTGATTAGCATTACAGTGTTGGACCCAAAAATGGGACAAAAAACCAGATGAAGTGGCGTTGGCATGTGGTGTATACTTCAGCCCCACATCATTCGGTATCTGGTCTAGTAGTTCTCCCCCCTCCCCTCACCCCCAAAAAAAAAAAAAAATTATTGTTGCATTCTTCGAGATAAGAGATTTGTTATATTCATTACCTCTTCTGATTCAAACAATTGCCGATGGGACTTTAATTGAAAGAAGAGATATGCGCAATATGTTACAAGCATAAGGATGCTGCTTGCTCTTGACAACTCAAGTACTGAATCGGCTGTGGTACTGTCAGGCTTTACGGCATATCCGAACACCAATGGCAGCACATGGCAAAGCAATCCCAGCAATAGAAGGAGCAAGTTCACGTCAGCCTGCTTCTGTCAAAGCCAACAAATATACATGAACAAGTTAACTGTGTTTACAAAAGAAAGAGTGTGTTGTGTGTGTGTGACTGTGCATTAAGAGGCCTTAATCTTCTTACCCTGTCAAACTTTTGTTCCTTGTTCAGGTTGGCTAATCCTCCAAAGAGTAGAGAGGTCCCAAGAACAAGAAGAAGGTTGGAAAGAATGGAACCCAGGAGAGAGTTCTTCACCACACTAATTTTGTTTTGACGAAGAGCAAAAATTGCTATTATGAGCTCAGTTGCATTACCACATGTTGCATTAAGTAGTCCCCCAACTGCAAATGGCAAACCTCATTCACTTCAATCTCTTAAACTTCACAAACGAATGATATTTACAGTAAGTAGCGGTAATAGACATATATATGTGTGTGAGAGAGAGAGAGAGAGAGAGGTGATTCAAGATTACCCGTTGGACCGGTGAAATATGCAATTTGTCTGATGTTTAGTAAACCACAAAAAAAAAAACAAATGGAAAAAAGCAAAATGTTAGATATAATAGACACATGTGGTACTGAAATATAACCAACGACTAACGCTACTAATATCATATAATCTAATTAATTTACTATGTAATTCATCAATGTTATTGGATTATTAGTAAATTTTAATATCGGATAAAATCTATTATAATCCAACAACAGCAGTGAATTAAATTGTTAATTCAGTTCCAAATTTCGTTATTTATAATTCAAACAACAACTTACTCGGTTAAAAAGCTAACTCGTTCAGCAAGTGGGGTGAGCCCTAGTAAACTCAGAGCAAAAATCCATGCCTGGTAATTGATGGAAAAAAAGAAAGAAAATATCAAAGAAAAACCATTGCTAATTAGGTCAGAAAACAAAAAAAAACCAAATTTGGCTTGAAAGTGTTGATCGTCACCTGATTTGAAAACTTAGGGTCTGTTTGGTTTTCATCTCAAAAAACAGTATCTAAAATAGTTTTTAAGAAAAATTTTAAGAAAGTGTTTTTGAAAATTTTTAGATTGTAAAACTTGTTTGATTATATATTTTTTAAAATAATTTTAAAAAATAAAAAATTATAAAATCTGTTAGACAATAATCTACAAAATCCACAATTTTCCATCTCTATTTTTTCCCCCTCTCTCTGTCTTCACAAAACCCACACACACGCACACACAAACATAAACACATACACACACGCGCATACACACAGACAAAGACCTATACACACGCAGACACAGACCCATACACACAGATCTAGGCACACAAATAGAGAACAGAGAAGATGCCGGAGATTTTTGTGTGTGTGTGTGTGTGTCTTGAACTCAAACGCAAAAAAAAAAAAAGGCCCTATCTTCGTCTTCGTCTTCGAAGAGGAATTGCACAGAGAGAGAGAAAGAGGGGGAGGAGATGGAGATCTCTGTCTTCATTGCATAGCGTCGTTGAGAGAGAGAAAAAACAGTCGCTAAGTGAAGAGCTTTTATACTTCAACGAAAAAAAATATATTTTATTGCTAAGCAAGTTGATGGGTGGACCTCATTAAAGAAGAGAAATTGTTTCCCTTGTTTTTCTATTTTAGCCTGAAAACTCAGAAAACATTATTTTGTTGTTTTCTAAAATCACATCTTATTTCCCAAAATTTTCAAAAAATTGGAGAACAAAAAAACTATACAAATAGCATCTTCCTTGTTTTTAGAGTTTTGAAAACAAAAAATTATTTTTGAAAACCAAATCAAACATGCCCCTAAATTGTTAGAGAAAAATGCAACATAAGTATTTTATATCGGGATACAGAGCACAATGACTTACTTTTCCAAAATTGCAATAATCGGCCACTATTGCCAAAGGGATGGCCGGAAACAAGACAAAAAGCTTTGTTCCAAGGATCACCTCTTGAAGATTGGTGAGGACTTGTCTGAGCATTCCAAACCGAACCTTTGACACAAGGATCGGATCAGACTTAGTTCTCAACAAAGAAGACGATATGATCTGAGCAGTCAAGCCTATTGGTTTATGATCCTTGCCGCTCATCATGTCCATTGTGTCCCCCCCATTCTCTAAGTTCCAATGCTCTTGTGAACCCATGTTATATTATATGGTATAATATGAGTATCTCTAAGCTCTATTACTTTCTCTACAAACACGCACAGAAATGGCGTAGTTGACGAAAGTTACTCGATCTCTCAGATCACCTCTCTGTGTTTAAGGCTTTGATAATGTGTAGAGACTTTATTATATATATAGGAAAAGTGCGTTTGGTGCCTGAACTTTCCTCGAATTTTCTCGCACTTTGTTTTCTTATCAGTAATGCTGTTCTTATTTTGCATGCAGTACACGTAATGAGACAGCAGCGTAAAAACGCCTACACGTAGATTGAGTAGTACTGCATTGTGCAAGAAATTACGATATGAATATGGATATGTATTTTTTTATTTTTTCATAACATGCACAAATTAATACACATAAAATATATGATTGAAATCTCTTTTTTATATGCACTGTTGTTGAAAGAATGAAAGTGAAGCCATAAAATAAAACTCTAAGATGTTGTTCTAGTGGTAATAAAGATGAGCTGTAAATTCATATATTTTAAATTCGAATCTTGACAATTCCCTTAGAGTCAAAGTCAAGAGAGATTTATTCTTCATGAATACTCTCGTCTCGGTGTGAATGACCTATCTTTGACTGAATCAGAGAGATAATTAATCGAAATGCGCATAAGTTAATTGGACATTTTTGACCATTAAATAAAAAAAAAAAAAAAAGAAAGAAAGAAAGTGAAACCATATATAAAGAGTGGCTTAATTGATTTAAGAGGTGCTCGCATTGGGCCTATAGGTTTTGCAATCAAGTGGCAGGGTCAATTCAACATAATGGAAAAAAAATATGGGTTTTAAACCCCAAATTTTTAGAAGGTTTCATAATTTTAAGTACATCACTAGCTCACAAAAAAAATTAAATTTATTAAATTTTAAGTCCTACAAAAAAGCTCCAAAAAATTAAATTTAATTAAAATTTTTATTGCAATAATTTATGTCTATAATCTAATTTATAACATTAAAAACTTAGAAATTAAAAAAATACTTAAAAGTCAACTTGTATTTACTTTCTCTCTCTTTTAAAAAAAATAAAAGTTGAAATTAAATACTCTTTCTCCCGCTCTATGATAAAAAACAAAAATAAAAGTTAAAATCTCTTTATCGATAACATTAACACATTTTTATTTTGTCTCTCTTTCACAAAAAAAATTAAAAATAAATTTATTTTTTTAAAAAAAAATAATACTAAAAATAAAAACACTTTCATTTAATGTTACCGCTTTAACCTTATATTGGCTTGAGTCACCCCTTAGTGACAAGTAGGTAGCCATCCAGTCCCTCGCTTGTACAAATTCCACATCATGTAATTTACAAGTTTTTCTCTCTCACTGACATTTGGGGTGTTAAAATATTATGTCATTCGTTGATATAATATAACATTAGAATATTTAAATCTTTCTTGAGTCACTTATTCCATAAACTAGTAAACAACACAATACGAATAATAAACGTATCTATTATAAATAAAAAAGTTAAAAAAATACACGATATAACACATTTTATATATTGGATATACAAAATTTACATACGACAGTGGCGGAGCTAGAAATTCTATCTAGGTTGGACACTTTACTCATAAACTTTAAATTTTTTACAAAATAAAATAATGTATTTAAATTTATGGCATTGTATTTGATACCTAAAGATTTTATAAAATGTAAAAATTATCAAATGTCGATAAAGATAGCGTACACAAATAAAAAATAAAAAATAAAAGATGCTAATTAAGATATTACGAAAGATATCTTATAACCAATCATGCTATTATAGGAATTGATCACTAAGTAAGTTATTTAACCTAATTTTTATAATATCTATAACTTTAAAAATGAGTTCATTATGTCAAAGATTTATCTTTTTTTTTCCTTAAGAAAAAGAAAAATTTTATTGAATAAGAATCAAAGATTTATCTATATATATATATTAATAAAGTATTCAAAGTGTGTCAAAAAATTTATAATTATTTATTTATATGACTATATTAATTGATAGAATAAAAAATAATAGAATGGATATGCTTAAGTATACTTTTAATAATTTTAAATACACATATCTAATATTTTTTTTTAAAAATATTTGGATGGGCCCGTGCCCTGGGTCCTTATGTGGCTCTGACACGCAACATAAATTTAATATGATATGATTCGTATATTATAAATTAATAAATAAATTAAATATAAATAGTGTACTTTTTGACCGGAAGTGGCCTCCCACGATTCACATTGCACTTTTTTCACTCTTGTCATGTTATGCCATTCCGTGGGCTCTTTGTGTCATTACAAAAAAAACAAAAAGGTTTTTATAACGGTGAAATCCTGTCATAAAATATTTATTTATTATAACAAATATTTTTTGTGACCGTATTGTCTCATTATAATAAGTGTGGTCTTAAAAAAATTTTACGACAGTAACAATCTGTCTCAAATAGTATTTGCGGCAGTAAATCCATGTCGTAAATAAGTTATTACAAAAAATTTGACACTTTTGTTTTTATCACGGCGACCAAAGTGTTGCCTCAAATACCACATTTGACTATCGTAAAAAATAGAAGATTTTATTGTAACGGTTAATATAATGTTGCAAAATATATGAAATTTTTTCTACGTTAAATGAAATATATTTACGACGGCAACGATGCCACCACAAAAAAAAATAATTTTTTTTAATTATTATGAATAGTTGATAACCAATATTACATATCTTGTGCATATTTATAATTTTTTTTGGAGGGGAAGGGGAAGAGGTATTGCATTTTTGACCTCAAGAAGGTAAAACTTTCACAAGATAAAAAGTATCATTGGATCAAAATACTCATTAATATCCGTACAATTACCCAATTAAATATATAGATGAACATTAAAGTAAATATAACCAACATTTTAAAAAATATTGCAATATTTTCATATATAAAACAAAAACACAATCTCATGAATTAAACAAAATGTAAAATATGCATAACGATTCATAAGTACAAGTAATTAATACAAAAAGTTGAACATCTTTCCTGAATTATCATCTACTCTCTCAGTGACATCTGAAAAAAATATAAAATTTTTGTTACTATACTGAAATGATATTTATATACATATATACAATAAAAAACTAAAAAAAATTAAAATATATAGCAATAGAGAACCACACAATATTTCTCTGAACGGTTTGTCCAATTATGAAATTGTATATAAACAACTCATATCGTATACATTTCTTCTAATTGATTTCACCAATACTTGATTCGTTTATATTCGTATCGCGTTACGTCTATTCGTTTACTAAACAAATAATTTAAGGAAGACTTAAACTCACTAATTTTACGTCATGTTAACAGGTCATATTATATTTTTGACACCCCTAGTTTGATATAAAAAATTGACTTTATAGAGTTTAATTTTTTTTTTTTGAAGTAGAAATTGTCTTTTGATATAAAACTACGTAATTTTATAAAATATTACTTGTAACATGAAAAATATTTGTGACCAATACAAGTTTTTCTTAGAGTTTTTTTTTTTAAAGCTACAAAACTGTTTTTTAATTTAAAACAACATTTTAATATTTTATAAAATATTATATATGATAGGAAAAAATAATTGTCATAAATATAAAAAATTCTTTTGAATTTATGAAATATTATTTGCGACAGAAAAACAGTTGTTTTAAATACAAAAATTTCTTTTAAGTTTATGACACTATTTACGACAGGAAAAATAACTGCCACAAATATTAACAAAATATTAATACAAACACGCTTTTGTGACGATAAACATAGTCGTCATAAAAAATTGTCCCAAACACGTCTCTTGTGACGGCAAACACAACCACTGTAAAAAATTTGTCGCAAAAGGCATTTATTCTTGTAATGTGTGGACTTCTTTGAGGTAAGTTATTTTTAGGTAACGGTCTTCATATTTATATTTTAGTACAAAATTTTTTTAAAAAAGTAAAAATATTTGCAATTATTATTTTACAAAAATAATTTATATTCATCTTAATTCTGAAACAACACATTTTTATTATTCAGGTACAATTCTAACGAAAAGTAAAAAATGCAAACAGTGTCGGAGTTATTTATCAATATATAATTCTTTTCAAACCGTATTATTGATTTACAGTAGTTTTGAACTTATTTATTAATATATAATATTTTTTAAAAGCGAATTTATTAAACAATAAAAGCGAAATTCACAAACCTGCTTGTGAAATTAAAAAGCGGAATCAACGAATATGTCTTTCCATGTCTTTCACTGTCGATGACAACATTTCATTTCGTTACATCATTTAAACTATCACTCGTAAAACAATTAGAACTATTAGAAAATGAAAATAGAAATTTATAACTAATAAATAGAACAAAATAATAACATGAAATCACCAATAAAATAAGAGTATTAACAAATCAACTTAAAAATCTGACCTCAAACAGTTAATAGATTTTATTTTTATTCTTGAAAAATATTATCCAATAACTCAAATTCGATTTTAAATCTGTCATGTTGGATGATTCAATAATTTTTTATTTGATCAAATTGAATTAAAAATCAAATCTAATTTTTAAAAATTTTAACTCAATCGAGTTATTTTTAAATCTTTGGTTTAATTTTATGACTTATAAACTTCATACGATCCAAATAACTTGATTGAGTTAAATTTTTAAAAATTAGATTTGATTTTTAATTCAATTTGATCAAATAAAAAAATAATTGTATCATCCAACGTAACATATTTGAAATATATTTTGGATTATTGGATAATATTTATTACGAATTAAGATATTAATTTTGAAAATAAAATCTTTTAAATATTTAGGGTCAAATTTTTAAATAGATTTTTTAAGCTGCTCTATTTTTCTTTCAAGTCCCACTGGTATAAGCACTATTTTATCTAATACTATTATTTTATTTGTAATTTCATGTTATTATTTTATTCTATTTATTATTTAAAATCTCTGTTTTCATTACCTAATTGTTTTGCGAAAATATAATGGATCTTATGAAATGAAATGACAAATGATGTCATTGACTCGTTGCGTGTACCGGTAAAAAAAAGGCCCATTGCGTCCGTGAAAAATGGCGAAGTATGTGCACTATGTCTATGTTGGTGCTAGT